GCCTTGTATTAAGCTTAGTTGTGGAAGTCTTCGGTTGACTATGACTTTGGCGTTGGCATTGGTGTTGGCTTTGGCTTTGGCTTTGGCTTTTTTTGATTTTGTTTTTGTTTTTTGAGTTAATTCTTTTTTTCTTTTTTTTTTTTTTTTTTTTTTTTTTTTTTTTTGCTTTGGGGTTTTCTCTCTTATGTTTGTGTGTGTTCGTGTTCGTGCGTGTTTTTTTTTTTTTTTTTTTTTTTTTTTTTTTCTGCTGTTAGATGTTGGGTGTTGACTGCTGACTGCTGGCTCTTGACTATTGGCTTTCGGCCCTCGGCTGCTGTCTGCTTTCTGTTGGCCCTGCGCTCCTAGCCGCATTCGAAGCATGGTGCTCTTCGATCTATTTTTATGCCTCAAGGTCCTCTACTCCTCTTATGACCCTTGCTCTCGCTTCTCCAAGCAGAGGTCTCATTGCAATAGTCTATCGAGCGACTAGCCAATGAAGCCCTACTATGACCAGAGTACCTTTGGTTCAGACGGCAAGTAACAGGTCACACAACATGACGCCTCTACGCCATGCACTACACACTACAGCCAGGCGCCTGGTGCAGCTTCGCTAATTGGGGTAATCTAAGGATGATGTCAGTAACAATGAACTATTTACTAAACACTATAGAGCTCCGAGTTGCCAAGATCCCACCTAAACAGAGAGAACAAAAGCAATGGTAGAATCAAGTTAATATGCCCTTTGCTATGTATGCGCATGTATACTTACCTGAGGTGTTATCAGGCCTTGATAACACCTGGTCCTGATCCTGATCCTGATCCTGCTGGATGGAGGATCTCCTTGAAGGCCGGGACTCGAGCTCTATAGGGCCTAGTAAACAGGCCACTGCTACTGACTTACCATACTTAGACGACCACAACTGTGTGTCATCTGTTACCTACGCGAAATCCCCAAGGGCACTCGGATCAAAGTAAGGTCCAGAGGCTAGAGGCTCTCTAGAGCTACTACAATGATCCCCCTTCAAGGAGTTGCGAGGGCTTGACGGAAGGATCGGCGAAGGGGATCGGCGAAGGGGATTGGCGGGCAGGCGGGCAGGCGGGAGGAGGGCCCGGCGGGCTAGAGTCCAAGCGGATGAGCCTCTAAGGGAAGAAGACAAAAAAAAAAACACGCGTGGTTAGAATATTTGGTAATCAGAGCACAGCAGAGTACAGACAGAAAATCACGACATGTGCTTCTAAAAGAAATTGTACTTACAGCTCCGCTTTCGCCCCATTTCGATAAGCACTGCATGGGCCCATTGCAGTCTTTGGGACAATCGTCGCCATGAGCCTAGGGCTAGTGGCCCCTATTACAGCTAGGAGGAAGACGAAGAAAAAAAAAAAAAAAAAAAAAAAAGAACGAAGATAGCTTTGTAAGTATGCTAAGCTTATTCGATGGTAGGGACAATCACAAGCAAGACAAAGCGAAGCCATGCATAAACTATATACTTACTTGATGACAGCGGCGAGGGCTCTTCTGTGAATGACCAGGTGAGGCTTTTTTTGCTTTTTCTGGTCTGTAGTTTGCTGTTGAGTTGTTCAGAGTGTTTCCTAGTTCTGCTCTGTATCTGGCTAGAAGTTTGTATCATTTGTGGTCTAACAGTGATGTGAAAGAGAGAGAAAGAGAGATAGACAGGAAATAAAAAGTCAGAACAAGTACAGTGCAGCATAAGGTGAGAGAGTTAGGACTTTAGTGAGGGTGAATATTTGTGGAGTGTTGCTTACCTTTCATGTTGGTCGAGGAGGCTAAACTGGAAGAGAAGAAAAAAAGGGAAAGAAAGAAAAGAAAAGAAAAGGAAAGGAAAAAAAAAAAAAAAAAAAAAAAAAAAAAAAAAAAAAAAAAAGTTTATTTTATATCGAAAGCACTCGCGAGTAAAGGACGAATGGATGAATGATGAGTGGTTTTTGAAGTCGCGCAGGAAAAATGATAAGTGAAACCAATTTGCGATTTCAGAGTATTGACTGAATAATGAATATATCAAGCATCTTGCTTTTTGTACGCTCTAGAGCTCTAGAGCGGCCAAAAAAAAAAAAAGAAAAAAAGAAAAAAAGCGGCATAGCGGAATTTGAAAATGGATAATATGCGCACTACATGATATCATCCGTCATTTCTCATATGCATACAAGAGAGAAAAAGAGAAAGTACTCATGGGTGGAGGTGGGGAATAGCATTGCTAACATTCCGTCTTCAAGATCTGCAAGATCATCTAAACAACAATATTAGGCTACCCACAAACAATCAGAGCACGAGCCACATTGCTCTCTGCATGCTAAGGTGGTGCAACAAAGAAATATCTATTTAGACAGTGAGATTCAGAGCACAAGCACATTAACACTCGCATGCTATCATTTTCAACAACATTCAGCTCGAGTATCTATTATTAATCCTTCGTAATGGAGTTCACCAGACACTACCAGTCAAGCTTGCTTCTTTATTCTCTCTCTTCACTCCCAATAGCAGATGGAATAGACAGACTATCGCAGGAACTGTACCGTAGCAGCTTTTGTCCAAACAGACCTTTTTTTTTTTGTTTTTCCAGAACGCGGTAAAAGTAAGACACATCACTCGTGTGCTTTTTATTGGTCGACATACAAATATTAATTCGCTTTCAAATAAAATAAAATAAAATGCACAGCCTAATCAGCTGTCACATGTCATATGTTTATATTTTATTACTTTACATGAAAATAATAAAAAAGGACTGCGAGTGAGTTGAGAATTGGCATATGTCGTATTCTGGGAAAAGGCATTAGGATACAACCTGCCGAAACACAGTTCTCGATTGTCTATCACATCTCTTGTGAGGAGTGAAGAGAGGAAATAGAAGAAGAGAATAAAAATGAAAGCTTGATTGGTAGTACCTAATGAGCCCTATTACCAAGAATCAAAAAGTACTAGAGCTTAATGTTAATGAAGTAAGAGTATGCGAATGCTAATATGGTTGTGCCCTGAAACTCATTTTTTTACTTTCAGCCGCATCACATTGCTCGCTGTCTAAATGGATCTTTTTTTCTTTGTTGCGCCACCCCACCATGTAGAGCGGCTAAACAGTTCGAGGGCAGTAGGCTTGTATTTTAGTTATTGCTGTTGTTTATACAGTCTCGCAAAGCTTGAAGATTGTACGCGAACAAGTGCCTACACAAGCAAGGCGTCATTTAATATGGCGACAACGCATCCCAAGATCCCAAATGAGCATACGCCTGAACTGGCCCTTTGTAGCTTAGAATGTAGCTAGGTAAACTCGATAGCTAGATAGCAAACAATTTCTCAATAAAGATTAAAAAGTGTTTGATTCAAATAGCAAGTGACGCCTCTCTTAATGCATCTTCTGTTGCGCTGTGTCTGTGCTTTGGAACGATAATGATCAAAAGGCAAGCTCAGGCGAATTCGCAAAGGGCAGCCGCTTCTCTGAATGTCTGTTCCTATGCGAAGCAGTCTGTATCCTTTGAGACCATTAAAAAGAAAAATGTTAGGCTTGTAACCAGCCTGAGGAAAAGCCGCCGACGTTGTGACGGCGAATCTTTTTTTCTCAGGGTTACGAGCCTAATGATTACCTAAAACCCAGAAAGTCGTCTTCTGTGGAGTGGGGTGTGTGGGAGATGATAGGGGTAGAATAAAAGATAGAAAACTAACCAACAACAAAAATAATTAACGAAGTGGACTTTAGTGGAGTGTGGACTTGGGTGAGCTGGTCCGAGCTCTTCTTGGTCTCTTTCTTCTGGGGTTCTTGAGTTTCTTGAGCCGCGGCTCGATCAATTTCAGGTTTGGAGTCTTTTATTCTTGGGTTGGGCATTCGCTGAAGAGAGGATTTTGGTTCTTCCTTAGACTTCTTTATATGCTGAATTTTTGAAGAATTGAAAATTGATGGGGATTTGCTAGACTAAGTTTTCTATAAACGATGATGGATGTTGGGGTTTGTATCAATGGGATCTGTTTTCTCTCTCTACTTATTCATTTCTGCACTCTTCCTATTTCTATTTACCATTTCTTGTCTTCTTCATCGTTGGGCACCTGCTGAGGTGGTTTCGGTTAGTCTTGTGGGTGTACTTCTCTTGGTCGTTCAATTAGAGGTGAACCACTAGATTTCGTATGACCATGCCTCAGAGCCTAGAAAAAGGTGGCCATTCTCCTGCCGATCCATTGCACATAAGCCACTCAGCCTTAGCAACTCCACAAAGTAAAACTACTTCGCCACACTTTCTCATCAAGCTTTCTTTTGCACCCATTAAAGAAATTACTTGAGCTTGCTTCTCTTTCTCCTTTTTCTTCACCTTCTGCGGCTTCTTTTACTTCCTTCTATTCCTTCTACTTTTTTTTTTTTTTTTTTTTTTTTTTTCATATGCTTGGTAATCAAATCAAGAGGATAACGAATTGAACCTCTTTGCCACCAATCTTCTGATTGGTTTCACTTTAGAACGTACAAAAAGCACGAGCGCTTTCAAAAAAGAACAAAGATAAAAAGTGGGTCAGCCTCAGCTTTTTCTTTTTCTCTCCGGTCTCCTTAACCAGCCTCCGCGACCAAGGAAACATTTGTACGCGAACAAGTGCCCACACAAGCAAGGCGTCATTTAATATGGCGACAACGCATCCCAAAACCCCAAATGAGCATACGCCTGAACTGGCCCTTTGTAGCTTAGAATGTAGCTAGGTAAACTCGATAGCTAGATAGCAAACAATTTCTCAATAAAGATTAAAAAGTGTTTGATTCAAATAGCAAGTGACGCCTCTCTTAATACATCTTCTGTTGCGCTGTGTCTGTGCTTTGGAGTGATAATGATCAAAAGGCAAGCTCAGGCGAGTCCGCAAAGGGCAACTGCTTCTCTGAATGTCTGTTCCTATGCGAAGCAGTCTGTATCCTTTGAGACCATTCTTCCCACAGCACGAACTGTAAGAAATTTTCAATGAGCGTACATCCATTGCACATAAGCCACTCTACCTGTTGACGAGGGAGGCTGCCTGAACTGAAAGGAACAAAGTCTCTCATTACCAGACTTTTTTAAAGAATAAAAATGGACAAGGCAAAGAAAGTCTGTGGAGTCTGTAACACAGAGCCATCCAAATACAAGTGTCCAGTTTGTACATTGCCTTAGTAAGTAGTGCATCAGCCGCATCTCATTGCATTTTTTTTTTTTTACTAAATTTAAAAAAAAAAAAAAAAAAAAGAATGACGCTCAAGAAAGCCATGTCTAAAGCTTTATCCCTATTTGTGTCCACAACTGAATCCAAAGTTGTTCACTAGTATGCTACAAGAAGCACAAAGGTAGAGTAATACATCCAGCGATCCTATGAATTGTAAAGAAGGGAGAGGAAAGAACTCCTCTGATCGATAACCAAATCAACCATGTCATATTAGAAACACCATGCGAAAAGCCAATACCGACCCCTGAACCAGGTAATTATTGTTTATTTTAATGTTCTTATTTTGTTTCCAGCGCAATAATAATAACAATAATAATAATGTGCAATTGATTTATCACTATGCTTTACCCATTTAGAAACGATCCCTGTACCACCCGTGGCACCAGTACCAGACTATCTAAAAGAGGAGCCGGTAGCCCTATTGAACGAGGAACGGCTCGAGAGGATAGCTCAATCCAACAAGGTCAAGGAAATGTTACAGAACCCAGGACTTCGAAATTTGATCCGCATGATTGATCAGAGTGAAAACCCCGAGTATTTATTAGAGAAGGCTCGGAAGGAAAACCGACAGTTTATGGAGTTCTCAGAAGAAATCTTGGCTATTGTCAACCGAGATCCTGGTCAATCAGGAACTGAACAAGTATTGGAGGCCATGGGCCTAGGCTTGAAGCCATAAGTTTCTAATAGATCCATTCTCGCTCTTTTCTCGTTTACTCTTTTTTTTTATAATGTATTATTAACTGTCATTGTCTCATTGTCATCATTGTCATCATCATTCATTATCAATGATATACTATTATCATTTATTGTTATTCATCATTATTCAAAGTTTTGCATTTCCCCGTTATAATAAAATTTCGTTTTTTAAAATTTTATTTATTTACATAAAATTGCTGCTTTAATTGATGACAAGCTTTTTTTTTTTTTTTTTTTTTTTTTTTTTTAAAGTGCAGGCATCTGACGGACAACACGACCTTCGTTCTTGGCATGCTTGCGAATGCGTTCGAAGACAGGGCTATTCTTCCATCGGTCCGGTACCTCCTTCTTGCCTGTGACCCAGTAATAGATATCCCAATCAGGCTCATCCATAAATTTGTCAAACTGTTTACATTCTTCCAAGGACATGCTCTTGAGATGATCTTTCGCAAAAGTAGACAATAACAGATCTGTTTCGAGGATTCCACGCTTACGAGATTGATAAGTCAAGCGAGCTCGGATGGTCTCGAGGGTTTCATTGGGATCACGAGGTAAAGGTGGCAAGTTCGTATAGGGAGTTTGAAATCCATCAGGATCGATATCGCGACTAGAGGCATCATCGTGGTCTAGAACACGAGTTGGTTGAGTTGATGAAGCATTATGAGTAGGAGTAGTAGAAGTACCAGTAGAGGGCTTCGAGAATGAACGCCACGAGTGACAACAGATAGGAGTAGTGAGAGTTGTTGGTTTTGGAAGGAAAGGGACGCAAGTGGTGGCGGAGGTTAATTGAGCTCTTGAAGCAATACGGAATGTGGATCGGAGGAATGACATTTTTGATGTGTAAAAACAAAAAGAGTTATGAAGAGTATAAAGGATTCAAGTGGAATGTTAATGAGCGATGCAAGTGTGTGAAAAGGTGTGTAGAATGAAGTCAACTTGATCCAAAACACGGGTTCAGATTCCTTTCCGTTGTTAATGCCCTAATGGGGGGTAAACAAGTCACGTTGCCTACAGTTGGAGTAAAATGAAAAAAATCTAGAGACGCGTCCAGAATAAGGAGGATAGAATATTCATTTTGCTAGCTGATTCAAGCAAATAAAAAACAATAGACAATCACATTGGCTTTTTTCCCCTTTCTTCTTCTTTGATAGGCGTCATCTAGGCATCGCTAGATCGACATAATACTTATTATTAAATGGAAACAGGAGGTCTCAAGCTTTTTTTTGTTTTTAGTTTTTTGTTTTTCTGGTCTGCTTGGTCTATTTGCTACAGTGGCCATAACAGATAAGCAGTCGGTGTACTCTAATAGCTCCCCCCCCCAAAAAAAAAAAAAAAAAAAAAAAAAAAAAAAAAAAAGATAAGGTAGCAATGGTCTGCTGATCCATCTTTGAAAGCAAAAGTCTAGGCTTCGAACTTATTTTACTCTTGGAGTATAACTATTGAAGGCGTTAAAAAAAAAAAAAAAAAAAAAAAAAAGAAATGAAATGAAAAAGAGTATTCTGGGCTTAAATGGTATAAACCTTTAAACCTCAATTGATCATGAGTATACTCTGTTATGTATTTTCTGGCCTAAGGAGAAAAAAAAAAAAAAAAAAAAAAAAAAAGTAGCATGTTTAAAAAAAAAATTGCTTCGACAATGCTCTAGACTCTGTTATGCATCTGTTCGATTTTGGAATCACCACAGTCAAGGACAATATGCAGACATGCATTAGAAAACAGTAAAATAACCGACATGCACGGGAACATCTTGTTTACTCATTGGGCAATAAATCGATGTTACTGACTGGTTTGTCTAACATGTGTTGTATTAAAAAAAAAAAAAAAAGAACCGGAGAATTCACCTTAAGCTTTGAATGAATGGTGTAAATGTAGATCAAAATTCAAGGGAACTGAGCATAGTTGTTGTTGCATGGAGTTGTGGTTGAATTGTTTTTAAATACCATCATTTTTCTCCGATTGACAGTAACTGAATTCAACGAATGTGTAATGAATGACCTCATTTTCGAATGTTACTTCTTCCTTTTCCCCTTTTTCCTTCCAATCCTGCTGAGTATAAAAAATTAAAATGAAAGATGTGTGCACAGCCCGCCTCGTGGTTTTAATACAACAAAAATAAAAAATAAAAATAAAAAATAAAAAATAAAAAAAAAACGTGTGATGAATACAGAAAGGACATGCATGTCTTGACCCCGTGCTCACTTTTCCTTTTTTCGTTCCCTTTTCTTTTTTGTCCCAATGAGGTACACTTGTATGCACAAAGGATATCATGAGGGAACACAGAGAACATAAAATTAACATTCTCCCCTTTCATACAACTTGGAGCTCTTTTTTTTTTTTTTTTTTTTTTTTTCCTTCTCTTCTTTCTCTTTTACTCTCTTCCTCGCACCATCTCTCATCTCATTGTGTATATGTGTATGGGAATGATGTGTAAATGTATATGTACACAAGTGCGGGACATGAATATACTGAATACTTTGATTTTCCCTCTCTCTTTTTTTTTTTTTTTTTTTTAAGCCTAAAAAAAGCACTAATGGCTGGAAAATGATCGCTTCTAACTATAGTATGAATGAATCGCTCACCAGTGGGTGTTTAGGAACTGACCACATCAAACAATAGCATCGGCATGCGGTATATATGTTTGTCTAGTCCGGGGCCCCCGAGTTTCTTCTCTTGTTCCTTTTTTTGGTAACCAGTTAACACACATGGATGAAGATAGGACTGGACCTCTTTCACCGTCTCTTTGGGATATACTCAATCCCAATGACTCCGCAGTCAACACCTTATCAATGCTCGCTCAACAATAAAAGCCATTGATATCCTCTCTATTTCTTAAAAAAAATTTGGTCATAATAGTTCAATCTCTTGATCCGCTTTTATCCTGCGCCACCACCGTCTAGTCTGATTTGATACAACACCTTACTCTAGTTCCTGAATCATTGTTTCAAGTATGTATTGACATGATTATCAGTTCCGTTCTTTTGGGCAAAAAAAAAAAAGAAGGGGTTGTTTGTCCATGACACGGGACTTTTTTTTTTAATATCCGCATGTTGTACCACACCAGCTGAGACGGCAACAGAGACGCATTTTGCCACTTTTTTTTTTTTTTTTTTTTTTTTTAATTCAATTGATGAGTTTGGTCCAAACTGATCTATTGATAATCATTTTAAATAACTTGCACGTCCGTCCCTTGATCTACGGAAAAGTATATTAAAAGAATTGATTGGTCCTACGTTTCAGCATATGTCAGTTCTTTCTCTTTTTTTTTTTTTTTTTTTTTTTTTTTTTTGGCGACCCAGTTGATGGCAACATGACAGAAAACATCAATAACCTTATTTATCTGCTTTGATAAGCAAGCATGTAGTCATGCATCAACCCTTCTTCAACTCCTCTCTTCCCCATTATTTTTTCTTTTTTCTTGGTGTTTTCTATGCTTTTCTGTGCCTGCATAGGCGATGCAATATAATGGTTCCATTCCATCCTATAAACATAAAGGTGCGCATTACTATGCACTTTGTTGAGCTTCTTTTTTGGATACGGGCTCAAAGCAGATGGGCGTGTGTGTTGGTGGGTGACTGCTGATGCTTTATATATATAAATGGAAGAGATAGAGAAACAGCGAACAAGTGAAGGATGAAAGAAAAATAAAATAATAAAAAAAATAAAAAATACAAGATGGGCTTAAAAAGGATGCTCAATGCAACAGAATAATGAGCACGAGACGTAAGAGACTAGGCGCGTATTCAACAATATGAGCGCGTATTATTTTATTTCCTATTTCTGATAGTTTTTGAATCCTTTGGGTTGGAACCACATCATCTCCTGGGCTGGATGAGGGGAAATATGGACTGGAACTGAATAATTGAGAGGAGGTCAAATGAGCAATTGAGTTTTAAACATTTGCTTCTTTGCTTTGTCATTGGCCCTGGTTTCCCCCAGGTTGATCAGAACATTTTCTTTCTTTCTTTCTTTCTTTACAACATTGATACTTTTCTTACCTTTCCTTTCCTTTCCATTTCTTTTGTTTTCCCTACACTTGCACACATCTGTATTACACCAAGCAACGTCAGGAAAACAGTTATCTATCCTCTTTGGCCTTAATCCTAGACCATTATCAATTGTCTATCATAGTTCTGATTACTGCCTTTTACAACGAACCGCATTCTCTCTCTCTCTCTCTCTCTCTCTCTTTTTTTCTCTTGACATCCCCTGGTGAAAGCAAAGAAGGTATATATTCCAATAAGCTTTTTTTTTTTTTAAAAAAAAAAAAAGGTGGGTTATCAATGAGACTTTTGATATGGTCTGGCCTGGTTTTGCTCGCAGTGGTTGGCTGCAAAAAGTCAAGACAATGTTTTAAAACAGCCACTCACTGAATGAACAAATCAATCAACCATTCAATTACTTCGTTCTGAGAGCCTTTTTTGGCTCAGCTTTGACTCTTTTTTTTTTTTTTTTTTTTTTTTTTAAAGCTCACTCGCATTGATTATATAGCAAAGAAAAAAAAAAAAAAGCATTTCCTGCTTCTGTCATTCATTGTCTACCACTTATTGAACCATATACGAATGAAGGAATGAACGAATGAAAAAAGGGAATGAGGAATATAGAAAGGTCTTAGTGTTTCTATTGAATGAACGAATGAAAGAGGAGCGTGCGCTTGGAGTTTAGCGTGCACCAACAAAGCTATTCCCTCTTTCAATGATGTGTGTGGAGTGAAATGAAGGTGAAGTCTGGACGCGATGGGAAAATAACCTCTAAAAAAATGAATACGAATACTGACACAAACTTTTTTTTTTTTACTTCTCTTCCTTCCTTCTCTTCCTTCTCTCACACACACTTTGCTTTGTCTACCCTGCATTTCTTTACGTCCTCTCCCTATTCCTCTGTCTTTACTTTGAATCAACATTCTCTCCATTTCCATTGCTGGACATTCGTTTCACTCGTCCTTCCTTGCCTCAAACTCTATTTGCTCAACCGCCAAAAAAAGAACCATTTGCCTCCTCTTTTTTACTCTCACATACCCAAAATACCCGCACACAATCTCTCTTTCTCTCTCTAGACTTTTTTTTTTTTGTGATCAAACGATATCCTTTCAATGCTTATCCTACGGCACTGTCACCTTTCATCTGAGGATCTGATCACTTGTGAAAGGGTATGTCGTGTTTTACACGTTTTGTCATTCATTCAATTTCTATTTTATTACATATTTTACAGCCTTTTCTTTACTTCTGCGAAATGATGCCATGTTAGCGCATTCTATTTAACCAACCTTCTTCCATTACATATTTTGTCTCCCGTCCCTGTCGTCATCCTTCTTCATTCTTAACTTACTTTCGCCACCCATATCCCCCGTACTCTTTTTTCCAGGCTCTCCTCAGATTCGTATCCGGTCGAGCCAAACCTGTCGATTTAGACTTCAATGTCTGGGATTATACTGTGCCAGAGATTTATGGCTATATCCTCGGCATGTTTGTCAAGCTTGATCTTGTTGACTGTCTAGGCATTTGTCCTGCTGATTTACTGGATTTTATCATCGATGTTGACCGTGGGTACCAGGCTACCTTTTACCATTCATTCTATCATGCTGCTGATGTCACCGCTGTACTCTACCATATGCTCCTGGGTATGCATGCTTCTCAGTATTTAGCAAAGCCCGATATGGCAGCTTTGCTTCTCGGCGGATTATGTCATGACATTGGACATGTAAGTTCAACCAATTTTTGCCTGTGGAGGAACATTCATCTCAAAAAATAACGGCCACTTTCCCTCCCTGATATTAACAATGTGACCTTTTAATTTTTTTTTTTGAAATAGCCTGGTCTCAATAACCTATTTCAAGTCAACGCAAAGACAGAACTCGTCAGGGACCATGGAGAGGCATCTGTTCTGGAAAAATACTCTTGTTCACTTGCTATGGATCTTGTCACAAAGCACTCTCTCTTCCATAACATCTCCAAATCCCCTTTATCAATGCTGCCAGAGGGTAACCCAGCAACGGACGCCAGTATGCGCGAGGCCATGACCAAAGCCATTCTCGCCACCGATATGACTTTCCATTACGACATGCTCAATAACCTGAATAGTCTTCTGGAAGCAACCACCAGCCCTGTTTCATCCAGCGCCTCTGAAGCCAGTTCAGGATCAGAATCCGAACCCGAATTAGATTCAAAAACTCATTCAGATATCGTCAGTAAAGACACCTCTCTCACAGTAACGACAACAACCCAAGTAACCGTTACTATAGAGAAAACAGAGAAAAGCTCCGCTAGTCAATCCAAACAAAAATCAGTTTCCATGGCCTCGCCGATCAGCACTTCGCCAGAAAGAATAAATAGAATCTTTCGGAGACATCACCGTCATTCTTCATGCGACTCTGAGGACTCTGGAAGCTCTCAAGACTCGGATTCTACATCACCATCACATAATTCAGAGGAAAATCTCTTCACACCAGCAGACCTTACACCAGAGCAACGACAGAGTCTGATAAACTGTTTGCTTCATGGGGCTGATATTTCGAATGCATTGAAGCCTTGGACAGTCTGTAAGCGCTGGTCAGATTTGGTTGTGCAGGAATTCTTTCGACAAGGTGACATTGAAAAAGCACAAGACCTGCCAGTGTCTCCTAATATGGACCGTGATAAGTACAATCAACCCCAGATCTCGCTCGGCTTTGGTGACTTTGTAGTACAGCCATACTTTGAGGCATTTGCAGAGTTTCTTCCGGATGCGGCACCTGTACTAGAGTCACTTGCCCAAAACCGTACACAGTGGCTGGCACTGCAAAAGACGAGTCAGCAGTTTGGAGATGATCCTTATCTTTCAGTCGACCCACTAGAAGATCCACTCCTATCCAGGCGTCCCGGCTCGCCGGATATCTCATTCCTTTCTTCTGGTCGACGTGTATCTGGTATGCATTTTTTTTTTAGAAAGAATAGTTTATCTATATATTGAATTCTAATAGCCTTTTTTTCTTGTTAACCAACTGCCATATTGCTCTAGTCGCGGCTGGAGTTCTGGTTCTAGACGATACGCGATCATTAAGGAATCCTCACCGTAGACTACGGCATTCGACCAATACAGAGACTCCGACATCTGGTCTACGGAGGATGAAACGATCATTTTCAGGTCGATCCTTATCAACCAGTATGCAGAACCTCCATGTACATAGTGTGCGTTCAAGCCAGTCATCAAACAAAACCTCACAGGGCCAAGAGATTTTGATATCAGCTTTGAAACGTCAACCATCATTAACTGAAAGAGACATGACGTTGGCTTCACAGCACTACTTTCAACATATACATAAATCTATCAAACCTATTGATGCACAATCGCTCCCATTATCTTCACCCCCCCTATCCTCCCCACCCTCCCCACCCTCTCCACCATCACCACCTTCTCCACCATCACCACCAAAAGCATCCCCGAACTCGGCTACACCTGCGGCCACGTCACCGGCTAAGCCTTCTGAATCTCAAATGAGCAATGGCAGTAGCAATAACGCGAGTATGGGAACAACATCATTCCGACAAAAACGGCATGCGAGTCTCCAATCAGATAGTCAGGGCCCAAGCAGTGTTCGACACGGTTATGAGGATGGCTATCCAGTCCTGAAAGAGCAAGCACTGCCTGAGGCAAGCCATATACCCGGCTCTTGTTCTGATGGTCCATCAATGTCTACAAATTCGACATCAAAGCCAAACCTTACACCGATATCGATGCAAACTGGCAATCGCAGCAGCACACCAGCTGTGATGATGAACAAGATTAAGTATGACTGGATACTTTCACCCATTTTGCCCGAGATATCGAGTGAACCCCGGTTAGGTTGTGGACCGTTGGATGAGATAGTGGAGAATGTGGTGAACTCTGCTGTTTTGGCAGAGTCACCAGATCTCTCTATTGTGTCAGATTCAGTACTAGGGGCATACCCTTCGACGACCGCAGCAACCACTAGGGCTATTGGGCAAGATGGATCAGATGGAGCATCAGAAAATGCAAGCTGCAAGAGTCTATTTTCAACGAGTATATTATCAGGTGCTGGTATGACGAGTATGAGTGATAGCAGTGGCCATGGTGATAATAACAAGGGAATGGAGTCGCGCGATGGTAGCGTGCTGATCTCGACAGCAGATGGATCGGTGACAGACAAGTCGTGTAAATCATAAACTTTAGTTTCTTTCTATGTATTATATATATTTATATTGATATATCAGTGTAAACAGTAAAAAAAAAAAAAAAAAAAAAGTCCTTATTTAATCAATCAAATCAATGAAGTTTGGGTATGAGTCAAAATATAAAAGTTTCTATTTTAAATGCGCACTCAATAATTAAATCCAGGATAACGTGGCTGATAAAGCAATAGGTGGTATTAAGCTCTTCTCTCTTCATTCCTCCATTCACCATTCCATTCCATTACTTTACCTTCACTTTTCTATTTCTGCATCATGTCCCTTACAACCAACAGCACTTCAGATATTCCAAGCCCTGAGATCCGAGGACGTGAGCGTCAGGGCTCCTTTGGAGGATCAAATAAGGTCAAGGTGCTCAAGCCCTTCAATACTGCCAATATTAAAATCCTCCTGCTTGAGAATGTGAATGAGACTGCTGTTACTGCGCTGAAAGGTCAAGGCTATCAGGTATTGAAAAAATGTCTATATATCCGTAGACATAATGTTGATGATGATGACGATAACAATTAATTGAAGGGTTTCATTGGAAAATGCAAGTGGATGACTGTTGACAAATCTATTTGAAAAAAAACTCCTTCACTCATAGGTTGAGACACATGCCAAGGCATTAGCAGAAGATGTATTGATTGAAAAGATCCGGGATGTTCATTGTATTGGTATCCGTTCCAAGACCAAGTTGACAAAGAAGGTATTGGATGCAGCTGAGAAGTTGGGCGTGATTGGATGTTTCTGTATCGGAACCAACCAAGTGGATCTGGAGCATGCAGCCCAAAAGGGCATTGCAGTCTTCAATTCACCCTTCTCAAACTCAAGATCCGTAGCAGAATTGGTCATTGCGGAAATTGTATTGTTGTCAAGGCAGTTGGGAGATCGTAACATGGAAATGCATCAGGGTAATTGGCAGAAGGTCTCTGCTAATTGCTATGAGATCCGTGACAAGACTCTTGGTAAGTTTATTGATCAAAGGCCTTTTTTCCTTGACAATTCTCGGTATTCCAAGTATGTAATATCTGCATCAGAAGCCTACTCGGATACTGGACGGGCAAGCAAAGGGGGCAAGGGCAGAAGCAATTGTTTATTGGAGTCACAATGAACTTGTCGGGAAATGAAATCAGACAAGGAATCTGGAGTCAGAAAGCAGAACAGAAAATCAGAAAGAGTCTGGACCTTTTTTTCTTCTTTTGAGGACATGAAAACATACATGTCGAAATCAAGCAGGATCTCTCTATCTCAACGCTATCTTATCCTATTTTCTTATTCCTTCTCTCTCCTCTTCCTCTTTTCCTCCCTCCTTCCTCTCTTTCTCCCATCATAGTATTGACTATACCTTACTTGTTTAACATAACTTTTACTACAATTACTTTATAACTTTATTCTGATTGTTGAAAAATGCTTATTTTGAAAGAAAATAACCATCAAGCTTTTTTTTGGACAACCACTTTTATATCACTAGGAATTGTTGGATATGGACACATTGGCTCACAACTGTCGGTCCTTGCAGAGTCCATGGGAATGCGCGTGCGCTTCCATGATGTGGTCCCTTTGATGCCTCTTGGCACCAGCAAACAGGTTGGCTCGCTAGATGAGCTTCTCGAGATCTCTGACTTTGTAACCTTGCATGTCCCAGAGACTGAGGAGACAAAGAATATGATTGGAGCACATGAACTTAGCAAGATGAAGAAGGGCTCTTTCTTGATTAATGCCTCTCGCGGTACTGTTGTACAGATCCCAGCTTTGGCTCAAGCTCTTCGCTCTGGACACCTCGGCGGTGCAGCTGTTGATGTTTTCCCAAAGGAGCCTGCTGCAAACGGAAAGTATTTTGAATCAGAGTTGATGGGATGCCCCAATACGTTGTTGACACCCCATATCGGAGGATCAACTGAAGAAGCTCAGTCAATGATTGGAGTCGAAGTTTCACAGGCATTGATCAAGTTTATCAACTACGGTACCTCCATTGGTGCTGTCAACTTCCCAGAGGTTGACCTGCGTGCGATCAAGGATGAAGAAAACTCGATTCGTCTGTGCTACACACATTCGAATGTCCCTGGAGTCCTGCGTCAAATCACCAACATCCTCGCAGATCACAACGTCGACAAACAGTTTTCGGATTCAAAGGGCAAGATTGCTTATTTGATGGCTGATATTTCGGATGTGACCCCAGAGCAGATTCAGGATATTTACCGTCGTGTTACCGAGACTCCTACCAACATTGTCACTCGTGTCTTGTATTAAACCTTTCTGGGAAACATGTTATACGCTCAATCTTCCCACGTATCTCTTTTTTTGTAACTATCTGATTTTTTGTACTGTTTGTTCATTTGAATTGCACCGAATAAAATAAATAAATATAGTGATTTATAAACGGATAACCATAAAGCCTAGACGCTTCATCATATAAAGGGGCTTAGGCTACCCAAACAGGGATTTGGAGGGGCCTTTAGTATTGAATGGTTTCTAGAGCTGAAGTATGCTGATAAGAAGCAAAGGTTCTTTGTGGTTCTCTCAACCTTTTTTATTAGGAAAAAAAAAATAGAGCACGTATGTTGTTGTCCTCGGGTCTCGGAACCCATTTTTAGTTGCATTCATCCTCTCCAGGGACAGCAATGCACAGAAAACCAACGCGTAAAGCTTCCTCACTCTCATTCCTTTGACGTATCTGATAGGCCCATGCTTCAGATCTGTCCCACAACTCCATCACATCCTTGCCTTCCCTAGCAACATGTTCTGCTTCGACAGTGCACTGAGGTGTCAGGACTATAGCTTCTTTAGCGGTGCTATGGTGCTTGTAGTCATCCAAGGGATGTGTGATCCTGGCTGGGAAAAGATCCACCCCATCCTTTGTCTTTGTTCCAGTAGTCTCTCCATACGCAAATTGGATCCACATCGTCTGTACTCGCTCCATGAATCGTTTTTCATCCTCATTCAAGACTTTCTCGAGTGCATAGTCTGGTCCGAACACATACACAAGATCAAGACCATGATGCGCACCCCAGCCACGGCCAACAGCATCCACTGCCTCAATAGAGCGTTCAAAATAATACTGAAATAACTTGAACCTTTCTTCTCCCTCCTTTGAACCCTCGCGCAACGACTGTGTTGATGGTTGGGAGGAGTCCAAATCTTTGCGCTTGGAGAGCACTCGCAAGACAGAGAAAACTGGGTAGGCAAACACACAATGATCCAACACTTGCTCAGATACTTTTTTAGCATCTAAATCAGTCTTTGGCTTCCCATATACCTTTTCCCACAATTGTTGGCTGACTTCATCAGGAGGACAGAACCTCTCGTACAACCTTGGCAGCCCTTTTAGTGTTGTGGGGCCCATGGCCGGTAGAAGCGAGCTCGCCTCATTTAACATGCATCCAGCCATGACAGCTTTGACCCCTTGGTCGAACATTTCAGCCTTTTGGGCTCGTATGTAAATATCTTTAGGAACCATCAGTCCGTCCGCATAAGGTGTGACCAGTCGAACCCTCTTAGAAGATACAGCTAAAGCCAGCTCCATGCTTGGCACTTTTTTCAGTAGCTCAAGCTTCTCTTTCCCGGACAACTCCTTTGGAATATTAAAATGATCGACCAGAAAATCAAAGTAAAGCTTTCCTTCCACATGGGGCCGAATGGCTGTAAGAGGGGTAAAAGCGCCAGAATGCATGATCGCTCGATGGAAGAGGCCATGATGCTGAGGGATTAACATGTGGTAATTGACGCATACAGCACCAGCTGATTGACCCATAGCCGTGATATTGGAGGGATCACCACCAAAAGCTGCAATGTTGTTGTGGACCCATTCAAACGCAAGACGTTGGTCTTGAAGTCCCCAGTTCCCGGTAGCCCTCTCGTAATCAGTCTTGAGATTTGGATCCGACTCAATATCTGCAATAAGCTCTGGACAAGAGAAGAACCCGTGGAAGTTAAGTCGATAGTTGGGAACAACCACAATCACAGGACGCCCTAGCTTTGTTGCCTGGCGGACCAGATTACTGCCATCTAAAATATCCGACTCTTTCTTTTTTTAGTAACTGCTCTCTTCTGCTTCCATTATTATGAGAAGGAAAGGTTCTTATTTTTAAATGCTTATCAAATCTTACCATAGAGCTCCATAACATTGGCGCCATCACAGGATCCGCCCCCATGAATGAATACAACAACGGCTGCGCCTTTGGATTTTACTTCTGCTGTCTCGACCACCTTCTTCTTTAGTGTGTCCTCATGCACAAAAACGTTGAGGTTTAGACAATGTTTCTCATCAAACTCGGTGGTTTCATCGTCAAAGTCGACAGGTGAAAAAGTATTGATGTGCCTTGAAATGCGCCCTTCTGCTTTGGGTTGAGGACAGACTGGTCTAAAGTGAGCAGAAAAAAAAGAAACAAGAGACATTCATTGATATGACTGTATTGAAAGCAAAAAAAGAAAGCAAAAAAAAAAAAAAAAAAAAAAAAAAAATACTCGACGACAAATTACAATATTGCCTGAAGAGGAGTCTTATTGATAGAAATATGTGTATATCTTCATGGTGTCCTTATTCTTGTTGCACTTTGGACACACATACCCTAATTTGGTCGCATCACGAACACCGGTCCATGGCTCAGGCTTAACAGCAGGCCGCCATCTCTCCTGAACAACACCGAAGGGAACATTCAAGAAGCGAACAACATCTTTGTTTGGATCCAATGCACCTTGAATGATACCTTGGTTTGCAATATGAATTTGAGTTGTGTCTGATGGCTGACTCATATTGGAACAAATAAAAAAAATAAAATTGTGCAAGAGTGAGAAAAGGATACAGAGCAAAAAGTGTGATGTTCATGATTTTTATTTTTTTTTCCTTTGAGCCTTCCAGGCTTCTGGACCCCTTCTGCCCCTTCAGTGACACTGATGGCTGTAAATTGTTACGGCAGTGAGACTGATGGGTGTAGATTATCGTGGGAATATTTTCTCCCCAGACTGGGCCACGTGTTACAGGTGTAGAACTCAAGATTTGGATCATGAGAAATATTCGGTCCACAACAGATGACCAACATTGCTACTCGCGCGCCTTGTAACTAAAAACCATGCTACAATTAAGAAATTTGTCAAATCGTCCAGCTTCCCTGTCTGTTTACCCTCTCTGATATTTTTATTTATTTATTTTCTTATTTATTTATTTATTTTACTTTCAATTTCGCTTATTGCATTTTGGACTCATTGAGAACTCGAAATATAGAGTTCGTCCAAAGGTAAGTAAAAAAAGAAAACAAAACACTAGCACTCTGAAGGATAGGGAAATGTGGAAGAAGAAGTTCAGGAAGCTGAGGTTCTTAGGTCGAGACATGTTATCTCCTATATTGCAAAGAAAAGGACAAATAGATTAATAAAGCATTCACATTGTTGGTTTTAGTTTTAGTCACGTGTAGAGGGTTCGCCACCAACTATTTAACGAGCAACAGCTCAGGAAAATCTGGCTCCTTGTTCCTTATTTTTACACAAGAGCCATTTGAGTACTGACTGTTCTCGTCCAGGTAAAGAGCCCTCACAACGTTCGTCGTTAGTAGCCATAGATCATTAAAGGTTCCTTATTTTTACACAAGAGCCATTTGAGTACTGACTGTTCTCGTCCAGTCTTTGAGTAGTGTGTGTGTTCTTTTATTGTGTTAGAATTATTTATCTATCTGCAGCTGGAAGTGACCGGCTTCATAATCCACCAAAACGACCTAAATCTCCTACCACATCTGCCCCTAAATTTTGCAACAATATTTCTGGTGATCTATGCAGGGGGTGGCAGCTACAATGTCTTCCAATTTATCGATTCTTCTTACCATGATCCCGAAGTGGCCGTCGGCAGAGGCTGAGGGTCTAACCGCCGCGACATGGATCAGCGATTTTGGAGGTGTTATCGAAGGAGAAACCCTGAGCAACAAGTTGATGTTCGTCGAGAGGCAGGCGACAGGCAAGATCCAACGCTGGATCAGGCGTTGGAGGATGACAAACAAGACGAATGGTGCCTGGAGCCAGTTCGTCAGCGATTTCATCATGGAGGCCTCTACCCCTAGAAGCCAGGATGTCACCCTGGACGAGTTGCATTCTATTAAGCAAGGAGAAGATGAGACGACAGCCAACTATGTACAACGAATGAAACTTACCATGGAACTCCTCGACCCAGAGTCTGGTTGCGACGCACAGCCGTACAAGATCCCAACAGCCACCGAGCGTCTACTGGCGTACAGATTTTGCAAGGGTTTGAGGCAAGACCATCCTTTCAAGGTCAAGAACAAAGAAGCGCCTGCGACCTTGAAGGAAACCTTCGAATCAGTGACACAATTGGTTGAAGGAAATCGTTGGGGCATTGACACCACTGAGAGCCGTGTCATAGCTCGCAGCAACGCTGAGCATGCTGCACCAATCGAGACGAATGTTCTGCTTGGATCGACCCTAGTGCCGAGGACGCACTACTCTGGCTTCCTAGCGGACTTCAAAGACGACAAAGAGAAAGTTAATCAATTAAGCGTAGACGAATTAACAGACATGTTCGGAGCCTGGACCCTTGCTGCCGAGGAGCGAACTCCGGAGGCGCGAATCGCTCAGACTATCTCAAGAATGAGCCCGGCTGTAGCGAGGCGAGTGTTTGGTTCCTCTGAATTGGCCAAGCATATTAGAGTGGAGGCTAGACCTAATGCCGTGCTCCAACCCGCCGAAGTTCGAAGTCAGCAGGCTATCCCTATGGCCCGTAGAACCTGCCATAAATGTAATCAAGAGGGGCACCTCTTGTCGTTCTGCCCATTGGTGGAATGCTTCCGATGTGGCGAGCGAGGCCATACTTCGAAGGTTTGCACTAAGGAACAAGGAAGCCCCGCCACAGGCGCCAATAGCGTCCCATTGGCCACTCAAACTAACTCCTCGCTAAGAGTGCAAAGTTTAGAAATCTCCGCCACTAATGTCGCCCAATCATTTATCACGACTAAGCCACAGCGATTAAATTCGACAGGTGCCCAGCGACGTCGCAGTGAGAGGACAGGCACTCCTGCAGGTCCATCGTCTCAACGAAGAGAGGAAACGAGAGGCACTACTCCACCTGTCCGAGGAATGCAGTGGGAGGCTGAGGCATCCACTAGTAGTGCGCAACCTTCTGGGGACCCCCACTTCCAGACAGTGACTTTTGATGACAGAGCGGTCGACGGGCGAGAGAATAATGTTGCAGAAGCTCCAAATGCGACGCCAAAGCGTACCAGGAAGCGTGTCATTCCTGATCCAGTGTTCGTTGATGCGGTCGAAGGATTGAATTTTGATTTGGCCACTCACTCCAAGTACCGTGGAAAGATGGCAGTGCAACTCAAGGCAGCTGTTACCGAGGCCTGGGCCCGCCATGCCCCTCCAAGAAGAAGCAAGCCTAAGAGGAGTCAGTCAGCAATAGCTATGGCCAGGAACGTTCAAGGTGGCAAAGGTGATGTCACGACCGTCACCGCCTTGGGACGAGACTTCAACAACGCCGTTATTGATCCAGGCAATGACCATACTATGATGGGCCTACATGTGGCAAACGCACTCGGACTGAAGTTAGAGCCTGCTACTCGTGCGGTGCTATTGGCCCATGGGTCCTTCCAGAAGCTTGCGGGCCGCACAAGACCTATCGATATTTATGTGTCCGGGATCCCCTTGAGAATGTCGATGGGAGTGATCGACTGTAAGGGCACATATGACTTCCTCCTTGGCGATGACTGGCTCAAGGCGCTGAAAGCCAAGGCTGATTGGAGCAACGGTATCGTGTACTACGTGGAGAGTGAGGGAAGGACTATCACCCTTGGTGGCGGTCTAAATGTTCGCGCCTCAACCCCTCAGCCTACGACATCAACGTACTTGTCTGATGAGAACGATGAGTATGATGATGAGTACGACGACTATGAGGATGACGAATCAATCTACGAGACGGAAGAATCCGATGCTGATGCAGGGTACAGAGCCTTGAGAGTGAAGACAATAGAGGTCGGTGACCCGGATCTGCAGGCGATGACCGCAAGAGTGTTCTCTAGCAAGATACAGTGCGAGAATGACGATGCTCGCGTAAAAAGGCAGCCGTTCGCGGTTGACGGAGTCAACGTGGACATCAACCCAAATTTGTCCAATGAGCAGTACGGACAGATTGTGGAGTTACTTGAAAGGAATAAGGACAGGCTGACTACCAACCTTGAGGACCTCGAAGTGACGTCTATTTTAGAACATGAGATCAACATTCAACCAGGCGCCAAGCCAGTGTACGTAGGATGGTGCAAACGGTACTCGCCGAAGGAGCTTGACTTCCTTAAGAAGAGTGTTGATGATGAGCTTAAGGCAGGAAAAATCATAGAGATGGAGAGCGAGTGGTGCGCGCCGCTGAGTCTTGCTCCTAAGAAAGACGGATCCTTGCGCAAGTGCGTCGCATACATAGGCCTAAATAAGGTTACCGAAAGGGAGAGCTGGCCACTGCCAAACATCGAGGAAATACTTGACAACTTAGGCGGATTCGAGTACTACAGTAGCCTGGACGGATTTCAAGGTTATTACGTGATTGGCATCAAAAAAGAGCATGTCAAGTATCTTGGCTTCCGTACGCCTTTTGGGACGTTTGCATACAAGGTAATGCCATTTGGGCTCAAGAACGCGCCACATACCTTCAGTCGCTTCGTTAGAAAGTGTACTCAGACCTTATCGGAAGAGTGCTTGAGGCGTACATGGACGATGTGTGCGTGCGCACGATGACCTGGGGAGAGCATTTGAGAGCCCTCGATCATACGTTTGCGGCAGCTCGCGCAGGAGGAGTCAAGTACAAGACTAGTAAGCTCCATTTCGGGTATGACAAGGTGAAGTTTACTGGCCACGTGGTCGGCAAAGATGGAATTGAGGTCATGCCAGACAAAGTTGACAAGGTCAAGAATTTCACCCCATTACGTAGCAAGGAAGATGTACGTGCATTCTTGGGCTTGACGGGCTACTATCGAAGGTTCGTCGAAAGCTACGCTCAGATTGCAGAGCCGCTGACGAGGCTCCTCAAGAAAGGTGCAAGCTTCACCATGGGTCCTGAACAGGTGGCCGCAGTAAAGGGTCTCAAAGCCAAGTTAATTCAAGCTCCGGTACTTAAGGCTCCAGATTTCGAGAAGGATTGGGTGGTCTCGTGTGACGCCTGCAAATACGCTATGGGCGCAGTGCTAGAACAAGAAGATGAGGAGGGTAAGTTGAGACCGGTCTACTTTTACTCGAAGACCTTTCAAGGAGCCGAACGCAACTACTCTACCTTTGAGCAAGAGTGCCTCGCCGTTGTCATAGCCGTCAAGAAGTTTCGGCCTTACATCCTGGGTAGGTCCGTTGTCGTTTACACAGACCATGCGCCACTCAAATGGTTGTTTTCCAAGACTGATCTGACTGGTCGACCTGCGCGGTGGCAGATGATTCTGTCGGAATTCGAGCTGGTCATTAAGACCAAACCAGGTACGAAGAACGGCAATGCAGACGGGATGAGTCGCATTATGTCGGAAGGAATAGCCACGGATGACATCGATGACGAGGTGCCAGAGTGTCTGAGCCGAAGGGCAGAATCCACAGGAGAAAAGTGGCTGGCGAGCCAATGGTACGCGAACTTCTACATGTACCTAGCCGAGATGAGACTGGAGTTAGAAGACAAAGTTGAAATGAGGAGGATCAAGAGACAGGCATACAGGTTTCGACTGACGAAGGAAGGTGACCTACTGTATAGAGATGCCGACAACAGAGAGAAGAGGTGCGTAGTTGAGGATGAAGTCGAGGGTGTGCTGAAGGAGGCACACGACAAGGGCGGTCACTATGGAGCAGAGTCTACCCTAGCAACAGTTCGTGACGTGTGTTGGTGGCCAACGATGAGACGGGATGTATTCCACTGGGTCAAGTCTTGCGGCCGTTGCCAGCAATTTGGAAGTCGAGTGAAACATAACAGGTTGCATCCTACGGTCTCCGAGTTCCCATTTGAAGTTCTCTTCGTTGACTTGATTGAGAACTTAGTCGAAACGCCTAGGGGGATGACCACCATAGTCGTCTTCACAGATTCCTTCACCAAGTGGACTGAAGCACATGCAGTGGCCAACAAAGGCGCGCAAGGCGTCCTAGCTGTTCTATTTATGAAGATTATCTGTCGGTTCGGGCTCCCTGTTATGATTAGATCGGATGGAGGCCCCGCATTTCGTAACGAATTCAAGACTTTCTGTGACCTCTGGGGGATCAAGCACGTCACTGGTTCGACAAGGCATCCGCAAAGTCAGGGACAGGTCGAGGCGACAAATAAGCTTATCGAGGAGCGACTGAGGAGAGTACTGCCAGCTGGATCTAAGGATTGGGATGCATTCCTACCGAAAGCAGTATTCGACGTGAATTGTCGAGTCGTTAGGAGCACAGGAGTGTCGCCAATGGAAGCACTTATGGGCTACACAGGACAGTCAGCGTTACGGCGACTGTTCGCGGACGACAAGTTCCTCGTTTCAGCAGAGGCACCGGAAGAGAACGATGTAGTCCTAGAAGAAAGCATGGCGAGATTTATCGTAAGAAGAGAGGGAATCCGTGAGTATGCATACTCATGCAAGCTTAATGCCAATGACAGGATGAAACGTTACTATGATCGACGTGTTCGCCCACAATCGTTCGAAGTAGGATCAAGGGTTTACATGTTCAATTTGGATTTCGTCACAGGCTTTGGACGCAAGCTGGAGCCGCGTTGGTTAGGTCCATTTGAAGTAGTCTGGGCGAATGAAAAGGGATCATATGGGATCAAGACGGGTCGAACGCATTATGGCACAAAGGATGGGGTAGAAACAATTAATGGAGACTTCCTCAAGCTCGCAACTCAAAGGCAACGATTATGGGAAGATGATTTTATTGAGAACCTACAGAGAGCTACTGAGAAGAATCCCCACTACGCCGACACCGAACAACCTCTCGCGCCAGATCAATTACACCAGCCAAGTCTGGGTCGGGGGCGGGAGGACACAGCAAACGAAGGCACTCCAATCCAATCTCCACATCCCTTGTCGCCAAGGACAGGTCAAGCTCAATCTCGTGACGCTCCTCAGGCGCAAGTTGCACCTTCCGTGAACGAAGCCTCTCGCGAAGACGCGACTGGTCAGCCAAGCCTCTGGAGAATGCCACCTCGCCGTGAAGAAGATACTTCGCCCGTACGCGTTTCTCAATTGGCTCGTCTATGTCTTGAAAGGCCTCAGCTGACCGCTTATTTAGCTCTCGAGCGGGGGGGGGAACTGTCTGGGACTGAGGAGATTCTGGAGAAGACTTCTCCGCTGCAAATGGCGAAACAGAGGAAGGGCCAACCTCGTGGTCAGTAAGGGCAACCACCTCAGGAGAAGCAGAAGAAGGGGGAGTGACAACGACGGCAGGAGCAGGAACAACGGCAGGAGTAGAAGAAGAAGCAGAAGCAGGAGGAGTGGTAGGGGTCGAAGGAGTGATAGGAGAGTGAGAAGTGGCAGCAGGACGCGACTCTGGAGACGTGCCCAAAGACAGACTTAAGCTCTTGTCCGAAGAGGGAAGCATTGTCTTGGTGGAAGTGGTTGGTCTTGGGCAAGGAGGAACCTCGTCTTTCTTAATAACAGTGCGGGCCATGATGACGATGAAGTAGTTCAAGCAGGGCAAGGAGGAAGGAGTTGCGAATGAAAAAAAAGAAAAAAAAAAAAAAAAAAAAAGGGAATGGAGGAATGAACCAACATTTATGTCCATGGCAACATCATCATGTGGAAGTAATGGCGTGATCACGGATCAAAATGATTGGCCGAAGAAAGAAAATTTTCCTTGGTCGATGCCAAGGCGAACCAAAGGGTGACAAGAACAATGATGCAATGACCAAAATGCGGGGTAGCAAGAGTCAAGGTGGTAGAAGCGCAAACAGCACAATGAGTTTCTTTCTTTTTGAGCTGCGGCTTGGCGGAGCCGAACTTCGCAGCTGGTGGGGGTGTTGGTTTTAGTTTTAGTCACGTGTAGAGGGTTCGCCACCAACTATTTAACGAGCAACAGCTCAGGAAAATCTGGCTCCTTGTTCCTTATTTTTACACAAGAGCCATTTGAGTACTGACTGTTCTCGTCCAGGTAAAGAGCCCTCACAACGTTCGTCGTTAGTAGCCATAGATCATTAAAGGTTCCTTATTTTTACACAAGAGCCATTTGAGTACTGACTGTTCTCGTCCAGTCTTTGAGTAGTGTGTGTGTTCTTTTATTGTGTTAGAATTATTTATCTATCTGCAGCTGGAAGTGACCGGCTTCATAATCCACCAAAACGACCTAAATCTCCTACCACATCTGCCCCTAAATTTTGCAACAACATCAGTACCCAAAATTCTGTACCTAGATTTTTAGTACAGTAAAGCTTTATAATTGTCCGGAAGGGTCTGAGAGTGCCTTGTCCCGATATTCAAAAAGTTCATGTTGCGCTCAGACCAGCATTGCAGAGGAGAGCACGAAGATCCCGATGCGTGGTACTAACTAAACATTGGCCCGAACAAATCCTATGTAAAGTAAAGTTGAATATCTTTTTGTTCAAACAATGGCCTTTCAAAAAAAAAAAAAAAAAAATGGAGAGAAAGGCTTGTCTCGTTGACAGCCATCTCCCTCGCAATATGAACTAACACATGAACTAGCTTTCTGGCATTTTGGGTACAGAGCGCTTTACTAGATACAGTGTATTAGGATAAATAAGATATTTCTTTGACCTCTTTCATTAACAGCCCTGAAGCCCTTTATATATCTGCAGCGGAAGTACTCCTATGGAAGATTTGATAAGAGGCAATTAAGGAAGTATCCTTCTTCAAAATCGCTTTAAGTATTATAAAACACGTCCTTGTCCTCTGGCAGCTTGTGGCCAGTTTTCAGCTCCACTCCTTCTCTCCAGGGGCAGCAATTCCCAGGAAACCAACGCGTAAAGCTTTCACACTGTCATTCTTTCCATGTGTCTCATACACCCACTTCTCAGATCTTTCCCACAACTCCATCACATCCTTGCCTTCCCTAGCAACATGTTCTGCTTCGACAGTGCACTGAGGTGTCAGGACTATAGCTTCTTTAGCGGTGCTATGGTGCTTGTAGTCATCCAAGGGATGTGTGATCCTGGCTGGGAAAAGATCCACCCCATCCTTTGTCTTTGTTCCAGTAGTCTCTCCATACGCAAATTGGATCCACATCGTCTGTACTCGCTCCATGAATCGTTTTTCATCCTCATTCAAGACTTTCTCGAGTGCATAGTCTGGTCCGAACACATACACAAGATCAAGACCATGATGCGCACCCCAGCCACGGCCAACAGCATCCACTGCCTCAATAGAGCGTTCAAAATAATACTGAAATAACTTGAACCTTTCTTCTCCCTCCTTTGAACCCTCGCGCAACGGCTGTGTTGATGGTTGGGAGGACCTGTCCAGGTCTTTGCGCTTGGAGAGTGCTCGTAGGATAGAAAAAGTAGGAAAGGTGAAGTGGTAATCCTGCAATACTCGTGCACACATTCGCTTTGCATCCGAGTCGGTCTTTGGTTTTCCATACACCTTTTCCCACAGCTGTCGGCTGGTTTCATCAGGGGGACAGAATTTTTCGTACAGTCTCGGTAACCCCTCTACTGTTTCTACCCCAAGGGCTGATACGAACATAATCATCTCGTGCAATGTGGCTCCAATCATGACAGCTCTGACACCTTGGTCGAACATATCGGTTTTATGAATCCGTAAGCGTACGTCTTCAGGGATCATCACTCCATCCACATAGGGTGCGAACATTCGAATCTTCGCAGAAGATGCGATTTGTCCCAACTCTTTACCGGGCACTTTTTTCAGTAGCTCAAGCTTCTCTTTCCCAGATAGCTCCTTAGGGATATTAAAGTGATTGACCAGATAATCGAAATATATTTTCCCTTCCACATGAGGCCGGATAGCTGCAAGGGTAGTCATAGCACCGGAATGCATAATTGCCCGGTGAAAGAGACCATGATGCTGAGGAGTCAACGTATGACAATTGATGCTTATAGCACCAGCTGATTGACCCATAGCCGTGATATTGGAGGGATCACCACCAAAAGCTGCAATGTTGTTGTGGACCCATTCAAACGCAAGACGTTGGTCTTGAAGTCCCCAGTTCCCGGTAGCCCTCTCGTAATCAGTCTTGAGATTTGGATCCGACTCAATATCTGCAATAAGCTCTGGACAAGAGAAGAACCCGTGGAAGTTAAGTCGATAGTTGGGAACAACCACAATCACAGGACGCCCTAGCTTTGTTGCCTGGCGGACCAGATTACTGCCATCTAAAATAGCCGACTCTTTTATTTAATAACTGCTTTCTTCCCCCTTTCTTTCACTCATTCATTCATTCTTTCTCTGATCCCTTAATGTGAGAAGGAAAGATTATAATTTTAAATGCATATCAAATCTTACCATAGAGCTCCATAACATTGGCGCCATCACTAAATCCACCTCCATGAATATACACAATGACAGCTACACCTTTGCCCTTCGCTTGTGCTGCCTCGGTTACTTCCTTTTTCAGTGTATCCTCATGCACAAAAACGTTGAGGTTCAGACAGTTCTTTTCATCAAACTTCGTAGTCTCGTCGTCAAAGTCGATAAGTGAATAGGAATTAATCACTCTTGAAAAACGCACTTCCCCTTTTGGTTGAGGACAGACAGGCCTAAGGAGAAGAACAGGAAACCCATACAGAAGTTCATTGGTATGCATTTCTTTTTTCTTTTATTTTCTTTTCTTTTATTTTTATTTTTTGGATCCATATACCCCAATTTGGTCGCATCACGAACACCGGTCCATGGCTCAGGCTTAACAGCAGGCCGCCACCTCTCATGAACGACACCGAAGGGAACATTCAAGAAGCGAACAACATCTTTGTTTGGATCCAATGCACCTTGGATAACACCTTGGTTTGCAATGTGAATCTGAGTTGTGTCTGATGGCTCATATTGGAAAAAAAAAAAAAAAAAAAAAAAAAAGTAGAGGAAAAAGGGAACGGAAGTAGGATATAACTTGAAAAGAAAGAAAAGAAAGAAAGAGATGGAGTGAGAGAAAGAGAGGATAGGGTAGGAAGGGCATCTTTTTCTACGAGCCCCGCAGTAAGGAATTTTCTCTTAAGGTCATTTGCTTTATGAACCCATCTTGCCTGAAACTATCGGCCTTGGATCCAGAGCTTGAGTGCACAGTCATTCTTCTCTTCCAATTTAAGAATATATTTGAACCTCTTTAATTTGAATGTAAAACATATATTCTTGTCATGCCATAACATCTTTGCGTCCCCCTCATCAATTGACATTTTCTAGATAATTGGTTCCTGAAGAGACCCCTGTTGAGCTTCGTAATGGCATGGTCGCAAGAACGATTTCCTAAGAAGCCGTTTCATTACCGATAACTTAATCATTTACAATTAATTCTCAGGGCCTTCCTGGATGCTACCGAAGATCCGCGTTCGTTACAACCATGCAATGGCTTATTAGTCGAATATATATTTTTGGATAGGATAAAGCATCTTACTTCCCTAATTGTGGTAAAATATCAAAGCTAGAGAGGCATGGCTGCACATTACAGGTATAGAGAGCCCTAAATCCATCATAACTTGAAACTCGGATTTTTCAAAAAGCCTTATTGGAAGATGTTCCTCATTAATCAAAGTGAGCATTGACCATGGGATATGTCGGACGTGAGAACGATGAGATCACGAATAAATATGATGACAAGGAATGCTTGGTCCATAACAGATGATGACATTATCATTGACATGCATTAATGAACACGCGCAAAAAGAAACTGTATTAATTTCACATGTCCAAAGTTGCCAAGATTTTTTTTTTCTTCTTGTCTTGACTGTACCTAGATTTGTGCTGACAATGCAAAAATAGTAGAAAAGTCCAGCTGGACGTTGGCAAGGATCCGTAGGTCATTACTATGACCCATCATTATTATATTGTCCTCATCATTACTCTCACTATCATTCATTCTACAGAAGTTCCAAAGCCCAGTTGTCGTCTAAATACTTATACGTATACTAAATATACCATGGGTTGTATATTTGAGAAAATACGCTCACATTTTCAAGGTGCTCTCAGCCGGACTTTCCACTTTTTATTCGCATGCAAGGTTAGAGTAGCATGATTTAATGTGCTTTTGAACATTGTTCGGGCGTTCAAACGAAAGAGAGTGTACATGTACGCCGACCGGAGAAGCATGTGCTGAAAGACGAAGAAATATAAAAGTATCTCAACAGACATGTCCTGCTGCCCAAATGTTTCCGTTTCTGTCTTTTTTTTTTTTTTTTCTTAGTGCTCATCTCCATTCGACATTCTTCATTCTCCATTCTTCATTCACATTCACCGCTTGTTCGACAAAAATAAGATATCAGGGAAATAGAGAAAAAGAAGGCCTGAATGTTATTTTAATTTAGCGCAGGCATATATACATTCCAATTGATCAGATCATGGATCCCCTTGATTACTACGCACTATTGAACTTGGTGGATGCCCCTGGCGTTGTGGTAAGTCAACACAACATTAATGCATCCTACGACCAAGAATAGCGTCGTATTGGCCTTGATTCTTGCTGAAAAGGGTTTTTATTATTGTCTATTTGTCCTACCTGTCGCTAATACTTTCATTCTTTTGTGTCATTGTTGTTGTATTTGCCATTTGTTGACATTGTAGCCAGGCCGTGACCCAAAATGTCAATATGTTCAAACACCATTAAAATCTTCTGCAAATGCATCTACTCCTACTTGGGGATGTCCTGCAGGGTAAATAGCCAATACGAGGCAATAGCTCCCTGCATTTACTGACATTAAGCATTGGTTAAGTGTTGTTCTTCTAACTTGATACTCTGTTATTAGACATTTTTGCGTCTCGCCAAAACATTCAGCGCCCTGCACGCCTGTAAGTAGTCGATTTTTCTTTTCTTTTCTTTTCTTTTTTTTTTTTACATATGCCATTTTTCTGACACTTGGTTTTTATCAACTGATAAATAGGGCTTCTACTGTCCACCCAACACAGCTCAGCCCATGTACTGTTGTCCAGGCTATTATTGCTCCAATGACACGACCACTTTGACAATCTGTCCCCAGAATCAATACTGTCCAGCAGGATCAGTAGGAGGAGGAGTATGGATAGTTTTTACAACCTGATTGTCTGATGTTTTGATTTTTGTTCTTTTTATTATGAAAAGATCTAATTGACATATACTCTATACTACCTCTGCTGTCATTACTGCCGCTACTACAATTAGGTCTCCTGCTTATGGCTCGCCTCATGTCCCGCGGGTAGTTCATCGGCTTCCAAGTTTGGGCTGGTTCTTTTTGTTATCATTTTTATCATTGGTATTTACATTGTTTTCTGGATCCACAAACGATTTGAACGAGTCCGTACTCAGCATCTTGAGAAGCGGCTACGATGGATCCATAACCATAATGCCAATCATGACAACCTGTTGATTGAGGATGAGCAGGACGACGACGACGACGACGGCTGCAATGATGAAAAAAGTAGTGGATCTGGTACTCATGATGATAATGGTAATAGCAACAGTCGCCACAGGATACGTGATCAAGTCATTGATATTGATGGCAACAAATCTACGCCGCACCGTTCAGATTCCGATCGAACAGCTGTAGGAGAGACATCACCATCATCAAAGCCTGTAGACGATGTCCCTCAAAGACCGAAGCTGAGGAGAAAAGTGACAAAGGTCACTCACTCGTTCGACATTGAGTTTGAGCGCCTCAGCTTGACTCTTTCAAATGGAACTACCATTCTACAGGTAAAACGTACTTTCGTTACTACATTGAAAAATAGAGATCATTCTCAAAACACATTCGCTTACTCGATCCAACTGGTATCCCAACACCTGTATACCTTTACCAACGCTAGAATGTATCTGGCCAGCTGAAGGCAGGAAGGAGTTGCGCCATCATGGGCCCTTCAGGGTCCGGCAAGACTACGCTTATCTCCATCCTCACATCGAAAATGCCCAAGAACGAAGGTCGCGTTCTCATCAACGGACAAGAAGAGGATCTTAGCCATTACCGTAAACTCATTGGATATGTACCTCAGGACGATATCATGATGCGCGAGCTAACTGTGCATGATATCCTCTTACACTCTGCATACATGCGCTTGCCAGCCAAACTCACGAAATCACAAATGACGGAAAAAGTACTGGAGATTGTTGACTTTCTGGGTTTAAACTCGGTAATGGATTCTGTAGTAGGTGATGCCGAAAAGCGAGGTATCTCTGGAGGCCAAAGGAAGCGCGTCAACATTGGTATGGAACTTGTAACAGACCCTAGCATCTTGTTCCTGGACGAGCCGACCTCGGGATTGGATTCAAGTACAAGTGGTGATGTCTGTAAACTCTTGAGGGCCATTGCGCGCAAGAAGGGTCTCACAGTCGCTGCTGTCATCCACTCTCCCTCGCCCGTTGCATTCGACCAATTTGACGACCTCTTGCTCTTGGGCCACGGTGGCCGCGTGGTATTCCACGGACCCAGGACTGAAGCGCCAGCTTATTTCTCTGCCATCGGTTTTCCCCTACCCAAGGACTCTAGCCCTTCAGACTTCTATATGGACGTGATATCAAATAATGTCAAATCCAAGATCTCTAAAAACTTCAAGCCCTTCTACCTGCATCGCTATTGGGAATCGTACTGCAAGCGCGCACAGACATTTTATGCAGCAGGCAACAATGGCGTGGAATATAGACACCCATCACCTTATACTTCAAATCCATCATTACTCCATCTTAATTCGCGAGCTTCAGGTTGCCATAGTTTGGATCAATCCGCAATGTCGGTACAGCATCAGCATAGACCAGAGCTATCAGCCATGCCCAATATGAGTGGTGCCTCATCGCCAGCGCTGTCTCCTTCTTCTGTGCATAGCCCGGGGGCGGTAGGGCCGTCATCTCTCCATCCCTCGTCAGCTTCCCGCGTTGGCGATGAGAAACGCCATAGTCAACACAAGAGTGTAACCAGGGTCCGTGACTTGGCTCTTGAACATGAGCCTAAATCCGGTTCGTCTACACCTCGAGCTTCCATGGCCCTATCTGAGTTTCACTCCATGTATGATTCGCCGCCTTTACCAGAGAAACTCACCTGGGTAGAGACGACCAAAGGGGCGCTCCGCATATTTCTCATTGACAGTCGTATGTGGTGGCACGGGGTTTTTGCAGAGACCAAGGAAACTGTTTTGGGGCTCTTTCTTAAACGCAGAGACCCTATCCGTAACACTGCATCCCCATTCAAGATGTTTTGGCTATGTCTATCTCGTGCACGCCTGCAGATTTACAGGAGCCGGCGTCAGTTCCTCTACGACCAGCTCTTGCACCTGGGCTGTGGCATGTTCATCTCAATTGCTGCCTCAAAGTTCGATTATCTCGGTCGACAACATGACATGGTCTGTGCAATGACTCCATTCCAGCTCAAGCCCAGCTGCTTCAGTCCAACGGACCATTTGGCAGAAGTCGGTGTCTTTATTGCACTCGGTGTTTGCTTTGCAGGCATTTCGGTGGGATCTGTCACTTTTGGCAACGAAAAGCTGGTCTATTGGCGCGAGAAGTCTTCGGGTCTACTCACGCTCCCTTATTATTTAGCCAAAGTGATTGCTGATATCCCTCGCATCGTTCTTGCCGGAATCATGTTCTCAATCTCATTGATTATCTTCTTCAACGAGCGATCCAATTATTTCTATCTATTGTTTATTATCATCATGCTGTATGCTATAGCCTTTGCAATGGGCTATCTACTATCAGCCTTGATCCCTGCTCAGCGCGTGGCGCTTGTGGGAACAGGATTTACGTTGGCTTGGGCAATTGTGTTTTCGGGTGATGCACCTGATTTGGCTGATGTGATGAGCGATAGCGCATCGGGCGGATATAGAGCGACATCATGGATCTGGACAATCTCTGCACCTAGGTATGCTATTGAAGCGATTTACTTGCGGGAAGTGCAGGCGAGGCCGTGGGTCGAGATTCAAAACGCTCCTCTAGCTCACACATATAAGCTAGACCAGTTCTGGTGGTGTTTTAGGGCCATGGCTTGTATTCTACTTGGATGGCACGTTTTAGCATTCATCAGCTTCAAACTAAAAGATCGATCCAAGCAACGCTAGAAAAAAAAAATGTATAGACTACCACAATACCTTAATAACTTAATTAAAAGTCTGTTGGCCACTTTAACGCCCAGCTTTCAAAAAGGTTAAAACGTTATTATGAATGGCCTTAATTTTTTCTGAAACTGACAAATATGAACTCTTTCGAAAAAAAAAAAAAAACTTTTTGAAAAAAGGGGGGAGATACAGAGTCCTGAGAAAACAAAAAAGAATTCTCCGAGCAACTCGCTGAAAGGGCAAGATGCATGTCTAAAGAATTTTTTTTTTTTTTTTTTTGAAGATTACAAAACAGCAAACCCAAGGAGACAAAACATGTGAATGATTAAGGTTACTGGGAGGGGGCTTGGCAAAAACGCGAGAGCAAGAGCTTATTTGGTTTGTAAGGACATGACAAATAAAACACTGTGCAATTATATCTACACCTAAACCATTTTGCTACAACCTCATCTTCTAAGCTGCAAACGGAGGGGGAGGACATCTTTGTGTACATGTTCATGTTACACGTCGAATGCAGGTGCATGTATATATCCTTGGAAGTCTTTTTTTTTTTTTTTTTTTTTTTTTTCACTCTCCATCTACATTTCCTCTTTTCAGGCTCTCTATTTATCTCTCTTTCCTTTTTCTCTTCACTTTCTTTTCCCTCTTTTACAGCTCCCATCATCCACTTTTCAACTCCTCTCTCCCCTCTTTGTTTCTTGCATTAACATAATAGCCATAGAGCACTAATAATCAGTGTTCAATCCTCTCCAACTTACCGACTATGGAGTCTAATACCAGCAACAGCAACTTCAATGTTGCTCTTAATGATCCGTCGCCAGGGCACCATCACATCCATCATAGTGCATTGGATAATATGTTGAATGAGGAACTGGTTGATGCACAAGATGCAGCCATTGCTCGTGCAGAGGAAGCAGAGGTAGCAGCAGCAACAATAACAGGTCAACAACAAAATCAACAGGGAGATGGATCATATTTTGTTCCAAAAGGAATCCAAAGTGAATATGATGGCGAAGCAGTTTCAAGATCGGTTTTGAGGCCACCTCTGCATTCAGCCCCACCTTCGTATGAAGAAGGAATTGGACATCGATTGAGATGTCATGCAAAGCTGATGCGTCATCGAGACCGAGATACAAAGGTCACGAATGTGGAGCTGTTCTTTGACCTGGTCTTTGTCTATGCCAGTAAGTGGCCTCCTCTTTTATTCATTTATCTTTACATCCATGCTGTATACATGAACATTCGTATGGACGCATAAAAACCAATAAATAACAAAAAAAAAAAAAATTACTAGTCAGCTCCATCTCTCATACTATGGAAGAGGATCTCAGGTGGGAAGTGATACTCGAAATGTTACTTGTCACATTAGCTGTCTGGGTAGGTTTTTTTTTTTTTTTTTTTCTGTCGTGCAAGCAACTGTTTTTTTATTGTTTGTTTGTTTGTTGTTGAACTGTTGCAGGAGTGGAAATGGCTTCTTTTTTCTAACTCTAATTTTGCTTATTGTGCCGACTAAAAAAAAAAAAACGCGTCTGTTCATTTCCAATAGTGGGCTTGGGTATTCAGTGCATGGGCATTCAACTGGTTCGTATCTGGATACTGTATCAAGCGCTTTCTTTTTTTTTTTTTTTTTTTTTTTGTCTGTGTCATTATTAACGTAAAAGTTCCTTACATCCATCTACTTAGGTTCAATCCAGATTCATATCTGGTTCGATTATTGTTATTAGCATTGATGTTGATCAGCTTGGTCATGTCTGCAGTTATCTCGGATGCCTTCCACGACCATAGTCTTCTCTTTGCTGGGATGTATGTGTTGATCCAAGTAGGGCGGAACGTTGCTGCAGTCATTGCACTTCATAAGCACAAACTCCAATGCAATTTCCTTCGACTGATGGCATGGTTCACATTTACGGGAGTGCTATGGATTGTGGGTGGTGCCTTTGGAGGCGTTGCAAGGAATGTCTTGTGGACCATCGCTATTGTGCTTGAATATATCTCTCCAGCTTTGGGTTTCTATACTCCAGGCCTTGGCAAGTCTAAATCCACTGACTGGGATATTCATGGAGGACATCTCGCTGGTAAGGCTTTTTCCTCCCTCATCACAAGAGTCATAAAAAAAAAAGAGAGAGAGGACAGTTCACTAATTTTTTACCTTCTCACTCTTTTTTTTTTTTTTTTTTTATAACTTATAACTGCTAGAGCGTTGCTCTCTTTTCATCATTATTGCTCTGGGTGAGTCGATTGTAGTCAGTGGCGACACCTTCAAAGAAGTGATTTTCACAACTACAGGTTGTGCCATGTTTTTCGTGTCATTTTCTGGAGCAGCAGCAATGTGGTGGATCTACTTTCATACTGCCTGGAACGAAGCCATCGAATACGTGGAGCAATCAGACGATCCTGGCAAGATGGGTCGCCTTGCTTATACATATATTCATGTGATAATGGTGGTTGGTATCGTCTGGTGTGCTGTTGCGGACCGACTCAGCATGATGCACCCACACATGGTACCTCACCATGAAGGACACGAAATTGATGTGGCCATCATGATTGGAGGCCCTGCCTTATTTGTGTTGGGCCATGCTTTATTCCGAAGGACATTCAGCTCAAGGTTACCAAAGGCTCATCTAGTGACCATTATAGCTTTCCTCTGTGCTACACCCATTGGCCTCTTCTTGCCTCTCTGGGCTACAGCGCTCACGACTACAGCACTGCTGTTATGTTTGGGTTTCTATGAGTCGTATTTTAGATGTCATATCCTTCCTGGACTGCATCGTCATCATTCAGAGACTTAAATAGAATGCTATATCTTTGTTTTATTATTTATTTATTTTGATATAACATTAATATATAAATGGTATCCTACAACCAAAATCACTAGACAAAGCGCGTCAATTGTCAGTTAAAATATATACGTTTAATTCATGAGCCACAAATCGTTAAAACCTTGCATAGTTAATGCCAGCCAATAGTTTTCAGTTTTGTTCAGGTGGATTTTTTTTATTTTTTTATTTTAGCACAAAGCGTCTCAGAGTTTGAATTCCTTCTCTTCGCATTCATTTGGGATCATGTAATGTTTATTAACATGAAAATGTCGGGATATCCTTTTTCTTTTCATGTGGGAATCATTGTCGCGATTACGGGAGTAGTATCATCATGATCAGACATTAATATGAACAGGAGAAAAAAAAAAAAAACATCAATTATTACATGAGATTACAAGTGGAGCTTTTTTCTTTTATAAAAAACAATCATGTCGAACCTTTGATTCAATGCTATGAATTATTCGATCAACACGGACATGGACTTTTTTTTTTTTTTTTTTTTAAAAAAAAATGGGATGCTACAATCAGTTAAGATGGATTGGAAATCATAGCATTGGGACCATGAGAGAACCATCAGCTAATGAATTTTTCCTCTTGTCGGAATCCCCACTGTCTCGTCTTTTTAGTTCAAAATGTCGGCTGATCTTACCTGGTAAGACCGAATCTTTTTTTTATATTTTTGTGCCTGATTAAGGGTGTCGCAATTGGAAAGGAGGATAATAACTAAGGGTGGAAAGGAGGATAATAACTAACGACCGGGCATAAAATCTCTCCTATTGGGCATTCTATCATGTAGGCTTCTTATCAAGAACAACAACTCCTTCTTGGTCAAGCGCAATGGCGTTCAGTTCTCCTCGGAGGCTGGTAACTTGTTGAACAAGAACTCGTTCAAGTACTCTGGCCTTGCCAACAAGAAGGTATATGACCAAAATATACACAAAAAAAGAGATAAAAGCATCTAGTTGAAATGACATTGATGGCATATGCAGAAAAATCGAAACTTGTTTTTTTTTATACCTCTTTGAGCATATCGTCATCAATGTCGTCGCTCTGTTGGTCTTTTGTTATAAAAAAAGATCAAGAACGCGACATTTGATATCAACTTTCAAAGCGTAATATTTCTCTTATCTTATATATTAACTTTCCTGATGGCCGTTTTATGATAGACTGTTGACATTACCGCTGCTCCCTCTGGCCGCGGTGTTGTCGTTGCCACCAAGAAGGCTAAGGTCTCTGCCTACAAGCCTGCCAAGACCATCACCAAGGTCACCCTCACCAAGGGTATCCGCAAGTCTGCCCGCTCTGTCGCTGGTCTTACCCGCAATGGTTACCGTGCTGATCTTCGCCAGGTAAAAAAAAAAAAAAAAAAAAAAAAAAAAAAAAGGGGAGCAGAAAAAGTTGCAATTTTTTCTCTTTAACGCGTATTGAAAACAACCATTTCTTTTTTTTTTTTTTTCTCTTTTAAGGCCGCTCTTGCCCGTGTCTCTGCCCTTCTCAACAGCCAGAAGCCCGTCAAGGCTGCCCCCAAGAAGACCGGCAAGGGTATCCGTGCTGCCAAGAAAAACTAAATGCAGAGCCATCCCTTTGATCTGTTTGAAAACAAAATAAAATGAAGTCATTTGGATATTACACAATTGAAAAATAAGAAGAATTAAATCTCTTTGAATGGTCACGTGAACGAAGCAAGTCAAAATCAATTCAAAATGGTACTGTGCGAAGCAAATAATTAATCCTTCTCTTTCTCATCCAAAAAAAGGTGCATAATTTAAAAAAAAAGGCATCCATCTATCATAATTTATGAAGATATCATCCATTGAGAAATACACAAACATATTCTTATAAATATCGACAATCGTTGTCGATATTAAAAACATTGTTATATAGCAGGACTCGACTCGGTCTTATCCGCTTCTTTTTTCTTTATTCTGCTGAGAAGCCTTTACCAGCTAATGGGTAGTAGGCAACAATGCAGGCTTTGGGCTTGAAAGAATCAACATTCTGAACAACATCGACAATGCTATTTTTTCCACCTTTTCACTAAACTCCAAAAACGCAATAGATGATGAGTTGGCCATCAAATTATCGAATATATGCTTTATTATTTAAAGGAACAGGAGAGATGGTTCATGACAACTTGGATATTGACTAAGCAATAAGGACAATCAACATTAATATCAAGGATCAGCATACAATCGACCCTTACTCCATCCCCCATGGCTTTTTTTCTAAAAAAAAAAAAAGAAATCTAACGATTAAATCATGCATCGGGAGACATCATATATTCATCAAAAACTCGCCCAATCTATTTTATTCTTACATGTATATGGTATCATTCAACTCTATAGGAAAATGCAGATTTTCGTCAAGACCCTTACCGGAAAGACCATCACCCTTGAGGTCGAGTCTTCTGACACCATCGACAATGTCAAGCAGAAGATTCAGGACAAGGAGGGTGCGTTATTCTATTATTATTTTATTTTATAATTATCCATTAATGATTGAAAGCGTGTATATATCATATATATCACTGGAACATCTTGAGCTGGAAGTATTCGGGAAAAAAAAATATATATACATTGGATCTTTTACAATTACAGCTTCTATAACAACGTTATTAAGCTAAGATGAATTGGACAAATAACGGTTTACAACAGCAGCAACGGCAACAGTGATAGTTTCACAATAAGAGTGAATATCGGTTCACGTCGGAAAAGGGTTGAAAAGAAGAGGCAATCTGGATATTAATGGAATGTCACTACAATGTATTGACATTGCGATCTGAGTCAATGTCGAAATATGGATCTTCAACCATATAAAGCATTGGAGCACCTTTATTTATTTGATAATCAACTTTCAGGAAAACGTTATCTTTTACCCTATTTCTTTTTCTTTCCTTCCTTTCCTTTCCTTTTCTTTTCTTTCTAATGAAATGGTTGATACTTACAGTATTTTATGTTTATAACCCGTTGGATTTCTGATATATATAAAAAAAACAGGTATTCCCCCAGACCAGCAGCGTTTGATCTTCGCTGGTAAGCAGCTTGAGGATGGTCGTACTCTTTCTGACTACAACATCCAAAAGGAGTCAACCTTGCATTTGGTTCTCCGTCTCCGTGGTGGTATCATTGAGCCTTCGCTCAAGGCCTTGGCTTCCAAGTTCAACTGCGACAAGATGATTTGCCGCAAGTGCTATGCTCGCCTTCCCCCTCGTGCCACCAACTGCCGTAAGAAGAAGTGCGGTCACTCTAACCAGCTCCGCATCAAGAAGAAGCTGAAGTAAACTACTGGTTTTTTTTTCTTTCTTTTCTTAACAAAGAATAAAATTGGATTTTCGGATCAGGGAGCTTTTCTTTTTCTTTTTCTTTTTCTTTTTTTTTTAGTTCATGACTTGATGCCTCTTTAAACTTGAGCTGCATATGTTCCTCTGGCATCCTTTTAAGATGCCTACTCTTTTCTCCCTCAAAAAAAAAAGAAAAAGAAAAAAAAGGAATGGGCATGCTTAGTTTTTTGACTCTTTTGCCATAGTTCTTTACTCGCAGAGTCTGGAGAGTCTGCACGAGATAGTATGCGCAAAGGTGCATTCACTACATATGCTGTATTTAAATAGGTGGCCCTTGATCGATCTACTTTATACTATCGATGCTGTCATTCGAAGCCTCTGTCTCTGAGGCTGTCTCTGCTAATAGGTCTTAGTAATGATCTATTTGATACAATTAACCTCTAAAGGCCGATCCAAAGCTGAAGGACTATAGCCGAATCCCTTCTGAGTTCCTTGAGTCTTTATCTATCGTAAGGAGAGGAGAGGAGAAGTGGACGCGAAAAAGTCAGTCTCGATGGACTACAATACGCGGATGTGGTGCTGCTATCAACTTGAACAGGCACATGACCCATATTACCGTCTATGTTGGTGATGGCGGAGTGATCATTGTATATGCATATATTTATATATCAAACATGTATTTTTTTAAAGGCATAGCGGAATGTGTAACAGTTCAGATGTCAATGCGTTTCCCAGTGATTTGACTAACAGTTTTGAAAATGCAATTTTTGCCCGTCCCGTGTGTCAACTTTTTTTTATTTAATTCTTGGTTTTTAAATCCTGTGTTCCCCGCAAAAAAAAAAAAAAAAAAAAAAAAGTAGATTGTCAATGTCACCATACTGTGACAATGTTCATTGTTGCATTGATTTTTTTTTTTTTTTTTTTTTGTTACAAATATTTTAACGGAAACGCGTGTTTAAAAAAAGTTGAAATGTCGCACATGAAAAAACATTAGAATATTGTTTTTCTTTTCCTCGTTTGAATACAAGCTGTGCAGGAAACCAACAATGACGAAATACGATTTATAAGGCTTTATATCACGGCCAATTCCTCAGGTATTGTTGTATCAAAAAAAAAAAAGACACGGAGGATGATTACAATTGAAGAAAACGCTAAGCTATTCCTTATTGAGGAGAGTCTGGACAGAAAAAGAGAAGCGGATGTCCTTTTCTGTAAAATGAAATGTATGGTGCAGCATTTTGGAAATCCAATAACATGTGCAAAGCTGCAAAGGCTCTAAATTGTATTGAGAACAAAAGGTTGTAGACATGTCCATGCTCTTTTTTTTTTTTCCTCCTTCTCTTTCACAAGCTGCAGTAACAATCATTAGGACCAACACGGAAAAATACGCGACAAAGTCTAAGAGGGGAGTTTCGCTACCGTTCATTTCCGAGATTTTTTAGCTTAAAATTAAAATGAATTCTAACCGTCATCCTATGTCATTGTAGCTGCAAATGCACGAAAAAAAAAAAAAAAAAAAAAAAAAAAAGCCCTGGTGTCCAAGTCAATTCCGCTTCCACCCTTTCAAGGTGCGGAAGGGGACCGACGTATGCACAAGTGTATCGAATAAGGGCATCATTGTCTTGTTGGATAACGAACAGTGGCCGTTCAATTGGGTATAAAAAGGGATAGCTTTTTTTTTGATTTCCCATATCCAACTCGTAACTCTTTATCGTCGCTTGTATAATATATCTTTCTTTTTTCTCCTTTTCCTTTGTAAAGTACATGACATACGGAATGGTAAGTCTGATAGTAGAGATGGTTGAGATGATATGAATCTGTCAATGATTCCATGGTTCTTGTGTCCCTTTGATGGATTGAAATTCCGCAAGATGTTTAGGAAAAAGAAAACTGCAATGCATGTTTTTTTTGTCGATCTTTTCTTATTTTTACATGTGTCATGCTATTCCACAATTTATTTGCCTTGGGAGATCCGATTGAAGCAGCGCTGTTCTCTAGAAAGACGTTTTCAATGGCTGAATCTGTTGAGCGTGAGCGTGAGAGAATGATGAAAAGAAGATTACGATTGGAGAACAGGTTCTCGATGTAGAACATGATTTGTCTATCCGCTCCAGCTGCAAAAAATAAACCTTTTTGAACAAACTCGAACTTTGTCTTTGACTCTCATTGTCAGGTCTTTCCTTCAAATAGCATCCTCTCCTCTCTCTTTCTCTTCTCATTCCTTTCTTCCTTCTTCCTCATTCTTTTCTCATTTCACCAAACCACTCTTTTCACCTCTATACTTCTTCTATTTTTTGTATGTCCCCCCCCCATAATTGCTATTACTTTCGCTATTGCTTTCCTATTGCTATTGCTATTGATATTGCTATTGTTATTGTTATCACCATTTGTTACAACTATTAAGTATATGTATGTCTAACATTTCTTTGATTTCCTATCATTATTATATACTATTGCCTTGACTGGACTTAGTCTCCAGCTCCTAACAACATGGTTAAAGGTAATGAGCGAGAAAGGAGGAAAAAAAAAAAAAAAAAAAAAAACATTCCTATTTATCATACCTTTCTTTTACATTAATTCCTTTGTTCACTAATACGATTATTATTATTATTGCTGTTATAATTTTATAATATAGTCGTCATTTGCGGTGCTGCTGGTGGTATCGGTCAGCCTTTGTCTTTGCTCTTGAAGCAATCGGATTTAATTTCGCATTTGGCTCTTTATGACGTGGTGAATGCAGCTGGTGTCGCCGCAGATCTGTCACATATCAACACAAAGTCCAAGGTCACAGGCCATGGTAAGGAGAGCATGGATGAGGCCCTAAAGAACGCACATACAGTCGTTATTCCCGCAGGTGTGCCTCGTAAGCCTGGTATGACTCGAGATGATCTCTTCAAGGTAACAAACCCTCCCGTTTATTGCATTTGGTTTTGTAATTTTTTTTTTTTTTTTTTTTTTTTTTTTTTTAACTGACAACTTGTCTTTTTTTTTTTATTATTATTATTATTCTAGATCAACGCGGGTATTGTGCGCGATTTGGCTGAAGGCGTTGTCAGAAACTGCCCCAACGCGTTCGTGCTTGTCATTTCGAACCCCGTCAATTCAACTGTACCCATTGTCTGTGAAGTCTTTAAGAAGCACGGTATCTTTAATCCTAAAAGGTAAGTTTCTTTCATCTCACTCCGTTATCTATTTACGGCTTGCGGATCCACCCACAAAGAAAAAAATGAACTGAGCACTGCGTGGGGATAATTAATAATGTTTTACGATAAGCAAAGCCCCATTTTTTCTCCACTTTTTTTTTTTTTTTTTTTTTTTCTACAATTGCTCATGATAAAGGATCTGTCTTATCTAACCCACAAAGTTTTTGTTATTGTCATTAATTAGGGTCTTCGGAATTAGCACATTGGATGTAGTGCGATCTTCCAGATTTGTTTCCGAAGTTAATCCCAAGATCGATCCTGCAACCCGTGTCACCGTTGTTGGTGGCCACTCGGGTGTCACCATCGTCCCTCTGTTGTCTAAACTCCCTCATGGGTTCGTAGACTCCCTCTCAAAGGAACAACTCGATGCCCTGACACACCGTATCCAATATGGAGGAGATGAGGTCGTAAAAGCTAAAGATGGCGCTGGATCTGCAACTCTCTCAATGGCCTATGCAGGTGCCCGATTCACTCTGGCATTGCTTGACGCCGTTATCGGCGGTAAACAAGGATTGATCGAGTCCACCTACGTGAACCTGGATGCGGATCCACAGGCCACAGCTTCATTCAAGGAGAAGACTGGACTAGAATATTTCGCTCAAGATGTCGAGTTTGGTCCTGAAGGTGTGAGTAGAATCTTGCCTTTGCCCACGGTCTCTGCGTATGAACAAACACTCTTGGACAATGCCTTCCCAGAACTCAAAGCCAACATTTCCAAGGGCGTGTCTTTTATTACCGAGAGTGCTTAGACCATAGGAAAAAATTAAAAAAGTCTTCCTTATGCACATCCTCTCACTACTTTCATTTCGAGCACAGTCAAATATATACTTTTGTAAATAAAGAAAAGCAAGCACAAGTTCAAATGCGCGCACTTTTTTTTTTTTTTTTTTTTTTTAATTAGAATGAAGTGATAGATGATGGTTACATATGGCTGATCTGTTCCTCCTCTTTATACCGCCCTTCTACATAATCAACCACATCCTTTCCATAGACCTCCAACAAATCTGCATCCTTAGGTAATGCCAAATGCCTTTCCATCTCCCGTTCAGTCAAGACAACTGCATTCAGCAGACTCAGCTTCTCATCTCTTCTCCACCGACAGATCGCGATCTTGTCCATACTAGCCGAGATGGCGCTTCTGCTTCGGAACATTTCCTCCACAAGGTATCCAATATCATGGCGATTCAATGGGAACTTGCCGTTGCCATCATCGTCGCTGTCGTTATTACTATTGTCTACAGGCATGTTGAAGCGTGTCTCCTCTAGAGCCTTGAGATTCCGATGTAGACGCTGATAGAGCTCCATCCGGAACTTGACTGATAACGGCTCCATCTCCCAGCCTCCTAGCTTACAGATGATAAATGTTGCCATCGACATACCAAACATGGCAGGCAAAGGCACCAACACTGGCAGCTTGGTATTGGAAGGAAAGTCAGGAAGGATCCGATATCCATTGTCTGGCGTCTCTGATCCTGTTAATGGCAATGATGTCTTTTTAGGCTTGATTTTATAAGGTTTCTCTGAAGAATAGACAACTTCAATGCCATAGTCCACGCCAAGTCTCTTTAATCTGCGACGCACCACTTTCGCCAAAGGATCCTCTATGAAGCAAGCAAAGGATAAAAAGGAAAGAGAGATAAGCGACAAGTAAGAAATAATAATGATAACACTAATCCTAATATTAATCTTTAATACCAATAAAAAAAACAAAAAGGTTGTTTTTACCAAAAGTCTCAGAGATATCACTGATCAGCACGCGAGAAGGGTCTGCCTTGATGCCAGCACTAAGCGAGCTAATCGCAGGGATCTGGTTCTCGTGACAATACTTGAGTAACTGTAACTTTGTTCCTAGATCTCCAATGGCATCAACAACATAATCTGGTTTGTCTGCAAGAAGTCTAGCGGCCGAATCCTTATCAAGTCGTTCCACATGAGCATCTACCTCCGCCCAAGGCGCAATTTCCCTGAAATACTCTTTTAAAGCTATGGCCTTGGGTTTGCCAATGTCCAAGCGACTAGCACTCGCATGAAGATTCAATCCTGTTAATGAAATCTGATCAAAATCAATGATCCGGATTTTGCCAACGCCACTCTTGATAAGCATACTAGCGGCCCAGCTCCCAACTCCACCTAATATTATTTATCATTCATATGGATCATGGTTAATAAAGATAAAAATAAAAACATTCGATCTTCACTCTCGTGTCTTAACAATTAGAGAGAACACAATTTGGAGAGCTGAAAATCATGAAATCACAATTTATTCTTCTTATTCTTCTTCCTTTTCTCCTTCTTTTTCTTCTTCTTCTTCTTCTTCTTCTTCTTCTTCTTCTTATTTCCTTACCTGCTCCAACAACAATCACAAAAGAATCACGTAGTTTCTGGACACCTTCCTCGCCCAAGAACGCAATGTTCCTAGCCAATTGCTCTTGGATCAGTTCCTCACTGAATTCTACTTTTTTGCCAGTAGTCTGCTGCTTCTGATATCTATGTTGCTGTTGTTTGTATCCATCATGACTGATATGCTCTAATGACTCCATGTCAAGGACAGGATCCGACGTTGGCTTGTTTTTCTTCAGAGTCAATGAACGACCGTTCTTGTTACGCCGCTGCAAACCCTGATATCCTAACAAGACGGCTGCAGTACTGACAGAGGCTGCTGCAGCAACCAAAACCATCTTGGTCGATTGTGAAGAATTTGAAACAGCTCCAGGTGAAAGCGAGAGTTTTTCCAATGTAGCCCACATTTTTTTTTTTTTCTCAGCTGTTCGTATGTATCTGGGTTATATGGGATATGTAAAGGGATCCAGTACTATTAATGTTGTTCTCTTTGTTCTCTAGCTGATCCCGCCGTTTTATTTTAGTTGGTGCAATCACCTGTATGAGTGCTCCTGCTTTGGTAATAAGTAACTCTTTCGTAACAGACCAAAGATGCGACAGCGAATGAGCAAATGAACGAAAAGCCATGAATAATGAGCTCATAATACTTAACATAAACATTAGTGGAGTCTTGGAGAAAGTCACTTTTTTTTTTTTTTTTTTAGCTTATATCCCACGCATTTTCTGTATTTCCCATTCACAGATGCATTCTTTCAATATCCAAGCCTATTGCTTTCAGATCAACAATAAAAGAGATTCGCCAACTTAAAAACAATATTAATGAAGAGATCAATATTTTCTATATCTATATACTTCATGAAGTGAAAAAAAGTATGCGTCTAGACGAGAAAACGGGTATAAGATTACTCTTGCTTTTACAAAACTTCAAAATTTCAGAATGAATACATTTACAATAGTTGCAACACAATTCATGAAGTCTCAATTTGTAAGAGAGGAGTCAGCAATTATGGTATGGAAATATATGATATGAACCCATTGCCTTTGATTTAGTTTTTCGTTCCGTAATGTTTATCTTGTCGCGACTGTGTTCAGACTTTAATACCAAACAGTTTATTACTTGTTGCATTTGTTGTAACCATCTAACTAATTTTTCATTAATGTTACCTTTGTTCCTTGACTTGGCTTACATCTGGACAATCTTCCCGTTTTCATTCATTCATTCTTTCTTCCTTATATGCTTCGCCTCAAGCAGAACAAAAGCTTTTTTTTTTTCCAAAATGATCTATCATTCATCTCCGTTTCATCCTTTTCTCTCCTTAGATACTAATATTTATCTCCTGGATTCATACTGCTTTATCATGACAGTTATTTTTTTTTTTTCCACTTTTTTTCGTTCGTAGGCAGTATAACGTATCAAAAAGTACATCCACTTTGATCCTGATTCTTTCATAGTTTGGAAACATCAAAAAAAAAAAAAAAAAAAAAAACCCTCCTCTTCGCTTTGCGCAAAGTACAACCAGAGAAACATAAAGAAAAGAGGGATAAAAAAGAGTAGTCACAAAGGACTTTGTTGCCCAAGAGAATTATCCAAGCTTAAAAGCATGGTTTATTACTACTCTGCAACAGCGAATGGATTAAGTAAGGAAGGAAGAGAGGAATCAAACAAGATATTTAAGCCTCCTAAAGAAAATAGTAATTCATAGAAACAATTAGATTGTGTATTACAGTGTTAAGGTGATGAAGAACATCAGGCACAAAAAAAAAAAAAAAAAAAAAAAAAAACTTACGGGAATCTCAATCTCACCGGCATCGATGGCATCGCCGACGTCCTTAGGATTCTGGCCATCGACAGTGCATCCGACCGAGAATGCAGTTCCAAGAATCTCCTTGACAGTACCAGAGAGCTCGCGAGCCATGGACTTGGGGCGCATGATACGTGCAATCTCAATAACATCATCGATCGAGATGTTGCCGTTGTGCTTAATGTTCTTCTCCTTCTTGCGGTCACGGGGAGCCTCCTTGAGGGCCTTGATCACCAACGAGGAAGCCGAAGGGACGACCGAGACAGCGGCCTGACGGTTCTGGATGGTCAATTGAACAGTAACACGAAGACCCTTCCAGTCCTGAGTGGCCTTGGCAATATCTTCACCAACCTTCTTGGGCGAGAGACCGAGAGGACCAATCTTTGGGGCAAGAGCAGACGAAGCTCCAACCTCTCCTCCGGTAGCACGGAGGTAGATGATCTTGATCTCATTAGGGTCCAACTTTGGTGGCATGCTAATAATAAAAAGTGAAATTTATTGGTAAGCATTTGTTGTGACATTTATTTCATTGGGAAACGTTTCTCTTTCATCAATTGAGCGCAAATCCTGATAGCCAGAAGGAGCTCATGGATGAAGAAAAGTAACTGCCAAATAGAAATAATAGATGCGATACATCGTATGTATAATGGTTTAATGGATAGACAGATGGATGGATAGTTAGATGACACGGATGCTGCAATGGATGCACAAACATACTTGATACAATTTCTTGATAAAAAGAGAGAGAGGGAAACACCTTGTGGACGAAAAATTAATCCTTTTCCCTGTTTCGGAGAAAAACCTTGTTTTATTTTACAGTGCTCAGTGGAGCAATGTTCTGCTTTCCATCAATTCCAGCCTATATCTTCAGGGAGAGCAACGCCCATGAACCCAACACGCAAAGCTTCTACAGTATTATTGCTCCTGCGTGTATCATGCACCCACTTCTCAGATCTTTCCCACAGCTCCATCGCATCCTTGCCTTCTCGGACAGCATGTTCTGCTTCGACAGTGAGCTGAGGCGTAAACACAATAGCTTCTTTAGCAGCACTATGGTGCTTGTAATCGTCCACAGGCTGTGTGATCCTAGCTGGGAAAAGCTCTGCTCCATCTTTCGTCTTCATACCTGCAGTCTCTCCATACGCAAAGTGGATCCACATCGTCTGCACTCGCTCTGAAAATCGCTTTTCTTCTTCAGTCAAGACCTTCTCGAGCGCATAGTCTGGACCAAACACATAGACTAAATCAATACCATGATGTGCACCCCAACCGTGAGATTCATCCATTGCCTTGATGCAGCTATCAAAGTAGAACTGATATAGCTTGAGTCCTTCTCCTCCTTGCAACGATGAGTGAGTACTGTCCAGATCTTTGCGCTTGGAGAGCGCTCGTAAGGTGGAGAAAATCGGATAGGCGAATGTGTGATGCTCAAACACATGCATAGATCCTAGTTTTGCGCTCAAGTTAGTCTTAACTTTCCCATACACCTTTTCCCACAGTTGTTGGCTAGCTTCATCAGGGGGACAAAATTTGCTTTGTATCCTTGAAAATGCCTTTAGATTATCAGCACCAATCACTGATAAAAACATCTCCCCTCCGTTCGACATATTTCCGATCATGACAGCCTTGACACCATGATCGAGCATATCGGCCTTGTGGACCTGTACGCGGATATCTTCAAGTATCATCACACCATCCACATAAGGTGAGAACAATCGGACTTTGTTAGACCCTGCAGCTCGACCCAACTCCTTGCTAGGTACTTTTTTTAGTAGCTCGAGCTTCTCTTTCCCACTCAGCTCCTTAGGGATATTAAAGTAGTCGACCAAAAAATCGAAAAAGAGCTTCCCTTCCATATGAGATCGAATAGTTGGGAGACCATTCGAAGCGCTGGAATGCATGATTGCCTGATGGAAGAGGCCGCGGTGTTGAGGAATCAACATATGATAGCCAATACTCGAAGCACCACATAGCTCACCCATAGCGGTGATATTAGAAGGATTGCCACCAAATGTCGCAATATTGTTGTGTACCCATTCAAACGCAAGACGCTGGTCTTGAAGTCCCCAGTTGCCAGCGACTCGCTCATAGTCTGTCGTGAGCTTTGGATCCGACTTAATATCCTCTTCAAGCTCAGGGCAAGCGAAGAACCCATGGAAATTAAGTCGATAGTTGGGAACAACCACGATCACAGGACGTCCAAGCTTAGCTGCTTGATGAACTAGATTGCTACCATCTGGAAAACTCGGTGTTGTTTGAGTACTTTCCTTCTCTCTCTCTTTTTTTTTTTTTACGGTCTTTCTTTCAGCATAATGATAAGAGGATACTCTTATTTTAAGAACTATCAAAGCTTACCATAGAGTTCCAAAGAATTGGCACCGTCACGGTACCCACCTCCATGGATAAACACAATGACAGCTGCACCTTCAGCATTCGCTACTGCTGGCTCGGTAGTTGCCTTCTTCAATGTGTCCTCATGCACAAAAATGTTAAGGTTCAGACAGTGCTTTTCATCGAACTCGGCGGTCTCATCGTCAATGTCGACAGGTGTGCAAGAGCTAATCCTACTTGTAAAGCGGTCTTCTCTTTCACCTTGAGGACAGATGGGTCTTAGGAAGATGAAAAGCACACACAGATTTATCAGGATATCAATGAATATTGAATAGAACAGCCACCACAGAACACTTTAGTTACTACTACTGCTGTTGTTGAGCCACATACCCTTGTTTAGTAGCATCACGGACACCGGTCCATGGTTCAGGCTTGACAGCGGGTCTCCATCTCTCTTGGACAACACCGTATGGGACATTCAAGTAACGGGCCACACGCTTGCTTGAATCGAAGGAGCCTTGGAGGATACCTTGATTTACAACATGGATTTGGGGTGAAGATGACAAATTAACCATATTGGATGGTAAAGAAAAAAATTGAAGTCGCAAAGAGTGATAAAGAGGGGGGATGTTGATACTTTTTATCCTCTGATCCAATGCAAAGCAGTAATCTTTTTTTTTTTTCTTGCATTAATAGCCCCCTATTCATGCGTATACTTATCAAGGTGGGCAAACAACATCAAAATAATCCCATCAAGCAGAAAGGTAAACGATGAGAACCAGAGCTAGAAGTTCTATCGGTAGAGACTATATTGAGTCAATAAAGAGTCGTAGAAAGCTCTTCTTCATCTCTCTACGAGTTTAGTTACAAATCCAAATGGTTTGCACCGTCAGAAGGTCAAAATATTTGTACTTTTAGTTTATTTATGATTCGGTACTTCTGTTCTCATCTCTTACCATTGTTTTTTATTGATATTAAAGTGTGCTTACATATGCTATATCAAAATGCCTCCTGACTCTGCGCCATCCAAAGCTGTAGAGGATGAAAATGATACTGTAGTTCAGAAAATCTCAGCTCTATGAAACCTCATCATTCCTTCTGCATATTTGTTTGAGACTGCACTGCAAATGCATCACTACTGCCATTGATGATGCCGACTGTAGGCATATTAAAGTATGGCTCCTCTAGAGCTTTGAGGCTCCGATGTAGACGTATATCCAAAACTTGACAGAAAACGAAGCGATTCCATTTCTCAAGGACTCAGCTGGGAAAGAAGGCGAATGCCTCTACGCTTAAAATTTAACTGGACAATGAACCCGCGAAGGAAATTGCTCTAAAGGTGGCCAGAACTACCACCGGTTTTCTCAAGGCTTTTGAAACGTACTACCTCAATTTCTTGACTGACGATCTCTTCTAGATAACAGACCTTGCTGTCTTACCACGTGAAGGTGCAAATACCTTCGCAGACAGAATAAGTCAATTGTTGAGGCTGTGGGCTACAACCCACGGGTGTACTCTTCGGAAAGTATTGTAATTAAATTTGCAGATGATTGGCTTTCAAAATGTTAGTACAATAGATGCTATTACTCTATCTTGTAATAATCGCACAGTTGAGTGCAGAGTCAGCGTAATGCCTATGGGATACTACGGCTTCCTTATCGGAATAGATCTATTTTACCGCTTCGGCTTTGAGGCCCATGACGTAGCTACAGTTATTGCTTAAAAAGCGGATGATTTCTTAGTTGATGAAAGTAAACCGTCACTTGTGCCTTTTACTATGAAAGACCAAGAGCTAGAAACTGAATTCAGCGAACAGAAGAAGCAGTTTTTATTAGCCATTGAGCCCTTCCTACACCCCAATAGCCAGATTGGCCCTAAGAGTCACTACCCATTAGACATTATGCGAGTCCATCTAATAGTCAGAGATGACGATGACTGTGCGATTCAAGAACACTCTCGTAGGGTTTACGCGCAAGTAGAATGGATGATGCCAATGCCACCGTACAGAAATGGTTAGGCAGCGGAATTATCGCTGAGGCGCCTAAAGGCAATCCCTACAACAACTCTCTCACGCTTGCAGCGAGAAAGAACTTAGAAGGCGAAATTATTAAATATAGAGTCTGTCTTGGCCCAGGAACGCTGAACAAGCAGCTCGTGGATATTGATAACTTTCCTATGCTCATTGTATGCGAAATGTTGGAACGAGTTGCAGGTCATAGGTATTTACTACGATTGACTTGTCACAAGCATATTACGGATTACCTCTAGATGAAACAAGCCAACCCTACACTGTATTCAAAAACATGAATAAGCAATACATGTTTGTCTATGCCCCATTCGGGTTGCAGCCTATGACTAGTATCTTCCAAAAAGGAATGTCTCAATTGCTTGGAGATCTCCACTCGCTAACGTTTAAGTTGACGACATTGTCATCTTCTTCGACAGCATTGAAGAGCACACTGAGCATGTCAAAATGCTGATTACGCTCCTGACAAGTGCCTTTACGATTATTAATAGGGGAGAAAGCAATTTCCATCGCATGAAAGTCTTGTTGCTCGGGTTCGTCATCGATGCAAATGGTGGAAGGATTAACTCAGAAAAAGTCGCTACTGCTCAATCATGGACTCCTCCCACCGATGACAAAATGGTACAAAGATACCTTGGAATGTTTAACTACTTCAGAGAATATATACCCCTCTTTAGTACTTTGGCAGCACCTTTGGATAAATTGAGCAGCGCCAAAGGAAACTTTACACTTGGCGATCTGGAAATGCGTTGTTCCCAATCAATTAAAGCAGCTCATCATATCGGCACCAGTACCGTCATTCCCTGACTTCTCCTAGCCATTTTATGTGGTCACTAACGCATCCAATTAAGACATTGAAGAAGTGCCACGAGTGACGCCTACTGGTGGTCAGCAAAAGCAACTTTTAAAAGATACACACAGCTTTGGGTACCTTGGTATTGATGCCAAGGTCTTGTCATTGCAGCAGCAAGGGCATAACTGGCCCAAAATGAGTGAAGCATGCAATCGATGGATAAGGCGATGCTCTCCTTACTAACACTACAATATAGTACGTAAAGGCTATCATCTACTCAAAGCGATACACGCTACTCTACCAGATGAGCACATAGCCTTTGATCTAGCTCAATTTCCTGTCAGTTATGCAAGCAACGAATACGCTCTTCTCGCCGTAGATGTATACATTAGATTTTTTTTTTATCGAACCAATACCGATCTCTGGATCATCTTTCGTTACTTATTACATCCAGCCTACAGATGGCAAATGTTGCCATTGACATGCCAAACATTGAAGGCGAGGACACTAACACCGGTAGCTTGAAACTGGAAGGAAAGCCAGGAAATGCTTTTAATGGCAATAATACCTTTTTAGGCTTGGCTTTGTAAGGGTTCTCTGAAGGATAGATGGTTTTGTTCCTGCTGTTCCCACTACTTATTCTAGCTGTTGCTATAAGATGTATGAGCTCTCCTGTTTTGGTGACAAGTAGCTCTTTTGTAACAACACAGGAGTATACCAGCGAGTGCGGAAACCCATAATGAACGTCTATACTCGACATAAATACACTTTCTTTTATTTTTTACTAGCGTGCTTGGTTAGGTAAAATCCTATTCTGTGAGGCTTGTGTAAAGAAGTGTATCAAACTCATTCCTTGTCCGCAGGGAGAGCAACGCCCATGAACCCAACACGCAAAGCTTCCACAGTATTATTGCTCCTGCGTGTATCATGCACCCACTTCTCAGATCTTTCCCACAGCTCCATCGCATCCTTGCCTTCTCGGACAGCATGTTCTGCTTCGACAGTGAGCTGAGGCGTAAACACAATAGCTTCTTTAGCAGCACTATGGTGCTTGTAATCGTCCACAGGCTGTGTGATCCTAGCTGGGAAAAGCTCTGCTCCATCTTTCGTCTTCATACCTGCAGTCTCTCCATACGCAAAGTGGATCCACATCGTCTGCACTCGCTCTGAAAATCGCTTTTCTTCTTCAGTCAAGACCTTCTCGAGCGCATAGTCTGGACCAAACACATAGACTAAATCAATACCATGATGTGCACCCCAACCGTGAGATTCATCTACTGCCTTGATGGAGCGATCAAAGTAGAACTGATATAGCTTGAGCCCTTCTCCTCTTTGCAACGATGATTGAGTGCTGTCCAGATCTTTGCGCTTGGAGAGCGCTCGTAAGGTGGAGAAAATCGGATAGGTGAATATGTAATCCTCAAACACATGCATAGATGCATGTTTTGCGTTCAAATCAGTCTCCACTTTCCCATACACCTTTTCCCACAGTTGTTGGCTAGCTTCATCAGGGGGACAGAATCTGCTATGTATCTTTGAAAACGCCTTTAGATTATCAGCACCCGTCAATGATACAAACATCTCCCCTCCGTTCGACATATTTCCGATCATGACAGCCTTGACACCATGATCGAGCATATCGGCCTTGTGGACCTGTACGCGGATATCTTCAAGTATCATCACACCATCCACATAAGGTGAGAACAATCGGACTTTGTTAGACCCTGCAGCTCGACCCAACTCCTTGCTAGGTACTTTTTTTAGTAGCTCGAGCTTCTCTTTCCCACTCAGCTCCTTAGGGATATTAAAGTAGTCGACCAAAAAATCGAAAAAGAGCTTCCCTTCCATATGAGATCGAATAGTTGGGAGAGTATTCGAAGCGCTGGAATGCATGATTGCTTGATGGAAGAGGCCGCGGTGTTGAGGAATCAACATGTGATAACCAATACTTGAAGCACCAGACAGTTCACCCATAGCGGTGATATTAGAAGGATTGCCACCAAATGTCGCAATATTGTTGTGTACCCATTCAAACGCAAGACGCTGGTCTTGAAGTCCCCAGTTGCCAGCGACTCGCTCATAGTCTGTCGTGAGCTTTGGATCCGACTTAATATCCTCTTCAAGCTCAGGGCAAGCGAAGAACCCATGGAAATTAAGTCGATAGTTGGGAACAACCACGATCACAGGACGTCCAAGCTTAGCTGCTTGATGAACTAGATTGCTACCATCTGGAAAACTCGGTGTTGTTTGAGTACTTTCCTTCTCTCTCTCTTTTTTTTTTTTTACGGTCTTTCTTTCAGCATAATGATAAGAGGATACTCTTATTTTAAGAACTATCAAAGCTTACCATAGAGTTCCAAAGAATTGGCACCGTCACGGTACCCACCTCCATGGATAAACACAATGACAGCTGCACCTTCAGCATTCGCTACTGCTGGCTCGGTAGTTGCCTTCTTCAATGTGTCCTCATGCACAAAAATGTTAAGGTTCAGACAGTGCTTTTCATCGAACTCGGCGGTCTCATCGTCAATGTCGACAGGTGTGCAAGAGCTAATCCTACTTGTAAGGCGGTCTTCTCTTTCACCTTGAGGACAGATGGGCCTTAGGAAGATGTAAAGCACACACAGATTTATCAGGATATCAATGAATATTGAATAGAACAGCCACCACAGAATACTTTAGTTATTACTACTGCTGTTGTTGAGCCACATACCCTTGTTTAGTAGCATCACGGACACCGGTCCATGGTTCAGGCTTGACAGCGGGTCTCCATCTCTCTTGGACAACACCGTATGGGACATTCAAGTAACGGGCCACACGCTTGCTTAAATCCAAGGAGCCTTGGAGGATACCTTGATTTACAACATGGATTTGGGGTGAAGATGACAAATTAACCATATTGGAAAGGCAAGGAAGAATTTTAGAGGACACAAGATGAATAGTAGGGGTACGTTATTCCAGAGAGTCCTCGAAAGATTCTCCTCTTCATCTTTATAGAAGCGTATGAGTATTAATCACTCTACTTTCCCACGCCAAACCACATCATGTTGTCGTCTTAAAAAAAAACATTGATTTTTGCTTGCATAAATTTTTGAGATACGTACTGCAAGCATGCCATTGGCCCATCTCAACTGATGGGCCTCAGACTCCCAAAGCCTGGCCACTAGTCATCGCCATTGCGAGGGGCATGAGGGTCTGCTTCCTTCGTTGACAATGAGAAATACCATAATCGACATTAGAGTGTCTGCTTTGGGCGCATCTGCAGATTTACTGGAACCAGCACCAGTTTCTCCATGATTATCTCGGTCGACAATATGATGTGAAATTTGCAATGACTCCATCTCAACTCAAACCCGATTATTCAGCCTAACTGACCATTAGACTGAGATTGGCGTCTTTATTGCACTCGATGTTTGCTTTGCAAGCATTTCGGTGGAATCTGTCGCTTTTAGCAACAAAAAGCTGACCATTTGGCATGAGAAATCTTCAGATCTGCTCACACCCCCTAATTACCTGGCCAAAGTGATTGCTGATATCCCTCGCATCGTTCTCGCTAGAATCATGTTCCCAATCCTTCTCCAACTGGCTGCCCAACCACTTCTACCTGCTGTTTATTATAAGCATAATGACTGCTATAGCCTTTGAGATGGGTTATCTACTTTTGACTTTGACCCCTTCTCAGTGTGTGGTACTTGTCGGAGCAGGATTTACATTGGCTTGGGCAATTGTGTTTTCGGATGATGCACTTGATTTGGCTGATGCTATTGAAGCAGGAGGTGCAAGCGAGACCATGGGTCTAATTTCAAAACGCTCCTCTAGCTCACACGTTTAAGCGAGATCAGCTAGGGCCATGGCTTGTATTCTGCTTGAATGGCATGCTTAGCATTCATCAACTTTAAATTAAACTGTACAGACTACCACAATCCCTTACTACCTTAATTAAAATCCGTTGACCACTTTATCATCCATCCTTCAAAAAGGTTAAGCGTTATTATGAATGGCCTTTTTTTTTTTTTTTTTTTTTTTTTTTTTCTCGATTTGTCGAATATAAAGATAGATGTCATGAAGTCCTCCAATATTTATTACTTTATTTTTTATGTCGAAGCACTAAGAACAGACTGCTCCTTTTGTTCTGCAAAGTGCGAGATTTTGTTCCAATAATTCAATACCCCAGCCGGCAGTCGATCGCTCTTTCCGAGTGTAATCTGACGATCAGCTCCAATCAAAATAGCCTCATCATTCTCCAGCACAGGAGTCTTCATGGTATCAGCAGACTTGACGGCCACATCTTTTTGGTTTGCAAATGAGATCCAGATTTTCTGCATTTCCTTACCCAGAGCCAACTCAGATGCTACCAAGACCTTTTCGACTGCAGGTGGGAGGAATATGTATGGCAATTCGCCTGCATGCATTGCGCCCAGACCTGGAACAAGTTGCTCCATCTTCTCAGTTGCTGCATCAAAATGATATCGAATGACCTTGAACCCGGCCTCGCTGCGTTGTTGATCAAGCCTCTTGAATGTGTCGACAAGCACCTGAGTAGTATATGTAAACTTGAAATCACCTGTATAGACCCCAATGATTTTGGTCACATCCGCATCTGTCTCTGGATTTCCATAGACGGATTGGAAGAGTGCGGCCATCTGTGGATCGGGTATAAACCGGTTGAGCAGATGAGGCCATGTCTGCAAGTTGTGGTTTCCAAAAAGACCTGTAAACGCAGAGCCCTCATCCTTATTAGCGCCGATCAGGACTGATTTGAGACCAGGATCATAAGCAGAGAGATCCTTAGCCAAAACTTGGATAGGGACTTTGGAAGGGATGACCTTGCCGCCGTCGTAGAAAGGACCATAGCCTTTAGCAGCAATGCCTTGTCCGACAATGCTCAATTCCTCACTTGGCACGGCTCTCAAGCGCTTCAACTTTTCTTTAGAGTCCAAGTCCAAGGGAATGTTTAATTTTGTCAAGAGAGTATCAAAAATAAGCTGGCCATCCGTGTGGATGAACATAGGGGAGATCGTGGAAACGGTACCGGATTGCATGATAGCGTGGTCGAAAAGCCCATGGTGTGAGGGTAAGAGCATATGGTAGTGAATGGAGATTGATCCTGCAGACTCACCCCATGCAATGACGTTCTTTGTATTGCCGCCGAACGCTGAAATATTCTCTCGAACCCACTGGAACGCAAGCTTTTGATCCATCAAGCCCCAGTTACCGACGGATTGATCGTAAGAGACAGTAGGAGAAGAATTGGCAGTGTAATATTCCTGAGCATCTTGCTCCAGCTCCTTGGAGGCGAGGAATCCAAAGACATTCAGACGGTAATTGACAGTAACAACGATCACAGGTTGTTGCAATTGGATGGAGTGCTCAACAAAATTGATTGCATCTAAAAGGGGTTCATGGTATTTGAGTTAGTTAGCGCTTTTTTGAATTACGCAATCAAAAAAAAAAAAAAAAAAAAAAAAAAGGCTGCAGTACCATATAACGGTAATCCATTAGATCCGTCTTGGAAAGCTCCACCATGGATCCAGGTTAAGACGGGAATTGGCTCGGTTCCTTCTGGGGCGTTAAGGGCTTGGAGAGGCACAAAAATGTTGAGGTTGAGACAGTTTTTCTCATCATGGTCCAGTCCAAACTCATACTTGCCCTTTCCAGTTGGTACAGCGTCTTTTGGCAATAAAAGGTTAAGTGCGAACGTGGAAGGCTGCTGAGGACAGACAGGTCTAAAGTTTAAATGAAGGTGAGTTATGGGGAAGAGGAATCCACAAAAAAAAAAAAAAGAAAAGAAAAGAGCAAAAAGCATAAGAAAATAATTTCTGGAGGCAAACAGCTCCTTGGAGCTCATTCTAATGCTTGATAATAACAATATATATATGTATATATATTTACCCTTGTTCGGTAGCATCTCGAACACCGGACCATGGTTCAACCTTAACAGCTGCACGCCAGCGCTCTGGGACGATGGCATATGGCACATTACGGAAGATTGCCACTTGACGAGCCTGGTCAACAAGGCCACGTAGGGTGCCATAGTTGGGAAGTGTGACATCAATGATATTATTATCTTTGATCGTCATTTTATCTATCTTATGCTTTGTTCTGTAGAAAAAAAAAATCGAAAAGGACAGGAGTATGAAGAGAGAAAAGAAGCAAAGTAATTGTGGGGAAATTCGAAATTAGAGAAACACAGCAGAACAATGTGGACTGTGGAGATATTTATGCAGAAAAATAATCATTTTTGGGGGGGGGCGGGAAAAAAAACACCGATTCGGAATGTGTGTGTTTCTTCCCAATGCAGAACTACGCTTACAAAGCTGATCGACTACATGTGCTCAAAGCGCCCAATGACGAGCAAGAGCGTATGCTTCACGCGTGACGTATTGAGGGAAGGAGTAAAGAAAGGAGGCCGCAAGTTGAGATATAACGTATCAATCCAGACAAAGCAACACAGCCTACAGCCTAAGCTATTTGGTAAAGATGCAGACACGGCTCCCAAGCTGAACAGTTCCTTACTGGGTATCTTGAGTAAATGCCTACGCTTGGTCCTTGCCCCTCCATGCCTCTCTATCACCCACAGTCCTGCCCCAGCATAGGAAACGTCATTTTGCCTAGGTTCTTAACAAAACACTAGTTGTGTGAATCTAACGGCCACGATCGATCGGTATAAGAATAATTTCTCGGTTGTGATCGTCTTATCAGTTAATGATGGATGCAGCATACCATCCCTCTCACATTGCATTCTAGCCTTCAGTACCTCCTTAGCGCGTACTGCGCTTTTTTTTTTTTTTTTTTTTTTTTTTTCTATTCTTTTAATGATTAATAATACTAAAAATTAATACTAGAAATTAATAATACTATATGGCTATCACCAGGATTAACATGATAATCAAAACTATGATCAAGATTCCAATACAGCATGACGACGCTGACTCTAAAAAGACGAGAAAAATTAACAATTATCAATCACCATAACAACATACAGCGCACGTCCTCTCTAGTCATAAGCATCAGTCAATCGACATATGTCATGTATTAATAATACCTTCGTTTTGCTTTATAAAACGATTCATACGCCTCATTGCCTTCTGTAAGTTTCCTGAAGTTCTATCGACATGCTCATCCAGATCATCTAATAACATAGTTTGGTCCTGTAGTTCACCATTCATTGTTGTTGCGATCTCCCTTATATTGAGTACTGTATGCATAACGCTGTCCAACTGCTGATCCTGCTCTTGCATCAGTATCTGCAAAAAAAAGGAAAGATAGAAAGAAAAGCGACATTACCATAGTATTTCTTTAGTAAAGATTTAAAACTGGATCGTTTTGGATATAGTATCCACGTATTACGAATATGCTACTAATGATAACTGGATTACCTGCTGCTGTATCGCCTCCTGTTCAACAAATTTTGAATTGCTGTACATCATATTTTCCCGCCTTGTTGGCTTCTGATATCCTTTTGGGCTCGAGCTTCCAGCACTATCTTCCAGTAACGCCAGTCTATCCAGTTGAGCATCCCCAACTTTTACAGGCTTTTCCAATTTTGTTTTCATATCCTAGGTTAGCCAAGTGCATAAAGGATAAGAAATGTAAGTGCCACATCGCCTAATGCTAACACATTTTTCAAAAAAAAAAAAAAAAAAAAAAAGCGGTAGACGTTACAAGAACTTTTCTCCTTGTCTGATCTACGAACTGTTTCCTGGCATTGGACTCCCTTGTTGTCAGGTTGAATTTTTGTGGATTCTCAGTAACAGCTTTGACCGCATCGTCCAAGTCTTCGAGATCCTGCTCTATATTTGTCAGGATCTGAGAAAGTTCTTCTTTTGTCTTTTGAAGCTCTTCATTTTCAGCCGAGGTAACTGTTTGCAGAATACGCTTCCAGCTCTCATAGAGTGTTGAGGCATTTCCGAGTGATGTAAGGACGTCGCTGGAGAGGCAATATATATATAGAAAGGGAAAGAAGGCAGAACGATATAGGAAAAGGAGCCATGATAAAAGTGTATAGTCAGCAAAGGAGTAGAACTCAAGCATTTATTAACCATAATTAAAAGAAAGCTTTACTTTTTGATGAGAATAAATGGATCTTCCATGAGCTCTGTATTATTATATAAATGTAAATTGTCTATGTATCAGTATTTGAATGCGTGTGCTTCGTTTTAATGATGACAAGTATATGGACAGTGATGTGCAATACAGTCGAATCTGGGGTAACAGAATGCGTGGCACCTCTTCTTGCGCCCAATTACCCAATAGTGGCTGTGCAACTTGGGCACGTGACATATGTTTGCTGCCATAGAAAAAGAGGTGAAAAAAAAAAAAAAAAAAAAAAAAAAAAGTTTTTTGTTTTTAGGATTCAACCACGCAAGAAATGTCGGAGACAGGAGATCACCAGAAACATGTTCGTGAGCAGACAAGCGTCAATGAGGAGGAGGAGGAGAAGGAGGCACAAGTCATGCTTGGCTTTGCGGAACCGGTAGATCTGGAAGAACATGGTCCATTACTTGCAGAAGACTTTTGCTCAAAGATTGGTGGTTTACCTGTAAGAAATGATCTTCACATATATTAGTATAAAAAGAAAACGCACTTTTATCTAATTGCTATTTTCTGTCGGGGGACTAAGCTTTGGCTAAATCCTGAACATGTATTAGATATCAAGGAAATCCTTTGCGATCAATGCCAGAAGCCTATGACATTTTTACTTCAAGTGAGTGATGTTCTATTCTTTTTTTTTTTTTTTTTTTCAATGTCAACTAGTGGCCTGGACTTTGTACTTTTGGATTTATGTTAATTCTAGTACCATCCGTTACTTAATTATTTTCTCTGCTGCTTCAAAGCTCTACTCACCTGAGGATCACCCTCCAGAGGCATTTCATAGAGTGATATATGTGTTCTGCTGTAAGAATGGAGCCTGTCACAAGAAATCCGCAAAAGGATGGTAAGTAGATTGTGAAAGCTTAACCCAGCGCAAGCAATTAAAGGCTTATTAACAGCCTTTCTCTTACCGTCTTTTAGTTTCAAGGCCGTTAGAAGCCAACTTGGCCAATACAACCCCTATTATACGCCAGTTTCTAACGATCATGAAGATGCCGAAGAGGAAAACGCAGGATGGGAGCCTCTTCCTCTTAACAAACATGGTACGATCAGACTTTGGATATATGCGGGATTCGAGTAAGGCGCCAAATGGAAAACTCTTCTCAACCATATCAAACTAAACTGCATCTTTGGAATTTTTGGTATTGTTCGAGTAGCCAAAACTTGCTTTGTCTGTGGAATGTATGGACCTAAGCTTTGCTCCAAATGTCACAAAGTCTCATACTGTGGGCCTGAGCATCAAGCCATTCACTGGACCAAGGGTTTGCACAAACAGCTCTGCGGAACGAATCCTCCAACTTCTTCTATCGATGCGAAACTTGCTGGACTTTCAATATCAAAGTCAGCAGACAAGGATAAAGACGATGACAAAGATGAATATAGCGAAGATGAAAGTGTAGTCAAGAGGGTCAAACCTTTGACACAGACTTTGACGAAGGAACAACAGGACTATGCCAACAAACTCGACATTGACTACAAGCTGGTCGAACGAATGAATCGCTTTCCAGAATTAGAAATTATCAGCGAAGCTGAAGTTTTCGATCAAGAGGCTATCGACGAGGGCTTAGTAGATGAAAGCTCTGGAGATGAACTTGAGGCAGAAGAAGGATGGGAAGAGAGAACTGCAGCGCTTAACACTAGGAAACGGAAAAAGGCCGCTACACTTGCTAATGCGGATGGAAGCGGCACTAGTAGGTCATTGCAGAATGCAGAATCGTCAATGAACGCTTTGGTTCCCGTTGGAGATGAGGTCTACGAGAACACAAAGACAGATATTGATGCAGCCTTCTTGGCCTTCCAGAAAAGGATTGCTATGTACCCAGAGCAGGTATTGCGGTAAGTTGTGCCAGGGGCCATACTATACCTTTATGATTGGATATTTCATATGTCTGCCACCAAACTAATGTATATATTTTCGGCTCATGTAACATAGGTACGCACGAATGGAATATGAGCTCACCAATCCTGAACCACTTTATGTTAGCGACATTGGCATTCCCAAGCCTGAGGACATCCCGCCATGTCCGGACTGTGGTCAGGAACGTACTTTCGAATTTCAGGTAAGCTGGGGAAAATAAAGTATATTGCAAGCCTCCTACGAATTTCTCTATTATCTATGAGTGATCGCCAGCTGCCTACCTGAGCACTTTGGAGCAAGATTGATAATACTCTATTTGTGGTTCCATCCTTTGTCATAAACAGATCTTGCCCCAGCTTCTCAACTACCTTGCAATTGACCACTCAGCAAAAGATTCTCTGGATTTTGGCACAGTGCTTGTTTATTCCTGCAAAGATAACTGCCACGTAGAAGGGAAATTCTATCAGCACGAGATTGCGTTGGTGCAGCACTTCTCTGAGGATGGCATGCAAGGTGGTAACATGACCTCAGGGCTTAATGTCTCAGTATCAAAATAGACTGGTGTTATTCTAACAAAAAAAAAAAAAAAATAGACTGGTGTATGGTATTTCAAAGTAAAGCATTAGAATAATAATAATAATAAAAAACAGCCACCATTTTTTCTTTTTCTGTAGTGACTGCTATTCTTGGTTAAAAAAAAAAAAAAAATGCCTTGACTTGACTTCATTCTTCAACATTAAACAGAGTAAATGACCATTATGGAGCAGAGTCAAAACTCGCAACATGCCCAGGGACAGAGGCAAAGACAGGAACAAGAGCAGAGGCAACAAGGATATACGCCAGCTAATATAGATCAGGTACACTATCAGCAATATCAGCATTATCAGCAATATCAGCAATACCAACAACTCCAACAGTACTATCACTACCAACAGCAACAGCAGACCCATCAACACCCTGCAGCTGCCTCTGCTGTGACGCCTGTAGCTCTCCCTCCGTCTTATAGCACGCCGCTCCCCCCAGCTAAATCGAAGAATGCCCATCGTAAAAACAAACAGACCAACCCACTTCCACAATATCAAGCTCAATATCAATCCTCAATGCAAATAGGTGCTGCAGCTGCCTCTGCTGCAACAGCAGCGTTGCTTTCGTTTGGATACAAGAGCGCTGAGCCAGCCTCAGACCTAGGGTCCAATGCAGCGCCAACAACAGCAGCAACGGCAAGCAATACATCAATAGATAATCCAATGAGTCAACAGCAGGAATGGTACTCAAGTTATCACACTCCGAGTCTTCGACAGCGGATGGCTGCCACTATGACTATGAATGCGTCGCACCCATACTCACAGTTACAGCAATCTCAAAAGCCGTTTAGGCACCAAAATATGAGATGGAACAATGGTAATAATAACCACAACCATAATCACCATCTGCATCAACATCTGCGGAACAACAACAGAATCAATAAAAACCATCAGCGTAGCCGAAATCAGCACCAAATAGCAAATGAGGTAAAAGAAGAGACTACCTTCTCCGCAAAAGATCCGGACTGCAAAAAGACTTCTGATGGATTTCACTGCGACGCATGCGACATTACATTTCATGAGGAAGCCAAACTTAAGACACATATTGCTGCCCACAGAACTTGCCCAGACTGCCAATACTCAGCATCGCCGAGCTTTGTGAGCGAACATCGTAAACTGGCTCATGGATCTAAGCAAGGCTTAGGCATCCCCACCACATTAACTGCTGGCCCTTTATCATCGACACCTTCACAAACATCGCCATCATCAATACCACTATCATCAATACCACTATCATCAATACCAACATCAATACCGACATTAGCACCTAACGCATTAAAAACGGAAACTACAACGTCAGCTAATTGCGTGGGTGACAGATCTCGCAAGCCCAAGCCTCCCATAAACCCAGATCTACTACACCCTCTTGCACCTGTTCTCAATACCCCAGAGGAAATTGAAGCATGGATTGCTCAACGGCGAAAAGCATGGCCAACAGAAGCAAACATTCGTAAGAAGGTATAAATAATCTACATTTTTACTGAAATATGGTTCATTTGTCATGTATTACAGCTTATCTCATGTACGCATCTCTATGTCTTCGCTCATAAAACTCGTGTATAAATCAGGAGCAAGAGCGTCAGGAGATGATTGCTAAAGGGCAGATAGTAGACGAACCACCAAAGAAGAATGATTCTAACAGAAACAGTCGAAAAAAGGACAGGATCAACAACAACAACAAGCGTCCAATGCAGCCAGCAGCGGTGAATGGGGATCATGACGAATCTATTAATAAGAAAGCAAGAACCGGGAGCAGTACTGAGGAAAAGACAGAGCCTGCTAATGGTCTAGTAGCATATGTTTCCTCAGCTGAACCCAGTGAAGCCGAAGGTTATGAGGATAATGATGGGGATGATGTGATGGATCCTGTAAAAGATGCTATCACTTCTAAAGACCCGAATGCCATGGGTAAAATGTTGCTGCCAACCGAGCGATCAAAACGACCAAAGCGGCCATGCAAATACTTTTTGCGTGGTCATTGTACACGAGGTGACAAATGTACCTTTTCTCACGATCCATCTCTGAAGGTATAGTACCAATGGTTCTTTGCAAATGTGAGGATTGATATCTGCTTGTGTGCCTTTGATTCTGTCATTGTTCTCATTTTTGACACGGTCTGTTATGCTTGTAAATGCTCAGAACAAGGTTCAAAAGCCCAATCAGGCTTCGGCCAAGAAGGAAGTATTCAGATCACGTCCATCGCTTCTACAAATGGTATGCTCATTTAACTAGTTGACAGCTTTTTCTCATGTATCCACTATCTTGTTTTAATAATCAGTATATATACAAAAAGCTGACTGTAAGTCTGTGCCTATTACAATGTTATATTGTTGTGAAATAGTTGCTATCGAGTGAAATCAAGGAGGAGAAGAACAAGCTACTTGAAGCAATGCGGTTCATTGTGGACCGAAACTTCTTTGAGAAGCAGGAACCTGAAGGAGTACTGGTGCAGGAAGTGTAGATTTTTTTTGTTAATTAAAAGAATACATGTATAACTATCATTCATTTTAGTTCATCTCCAATTGTACGTGTTATTTGTGCTGCTTACCCGTAATTGCGCAGATAAAATTTTCCTCTCTGAGTCAAGACCTATTTATCTTTATCAAGACCGTCTTTCTTCTCATTCTACCGGCCTCATTCTAACTTCACCATCCTTTCATTTCCTCATCTCACTCCATCTTTCTCTCCCTCCTACTCCATCTTCCTCTTCCTCTTTTTCTCTCTATCTGTCACAGCGCGCACATAATAACGATACTGGACAGAGAGCAGACACAAACCATCACAACCCCGTGAGAGAAAAAGTATCCTGGCCATGAGTCATCCCAGCCCCCATATCGATAAGGTCTCTATCCTTGGCCAGGAGACTATCTGCCTTGGATTCCACATCTTCGACTATCTCGTTCGCGATACTCTCTCGAACTTCAAGGCATCCACCTACGTTATTGTCACAGACACCCACCTTCAAAAACTTTATCTCGATCGATTCCAATGCACTTTTAATAAGATCGCCAAAGAACTTGCTCACGATGCACCACTGCCTCGTCTCCTGACTTATGTGATCCCTCCTGGAGAGAACTCAAAGTCAAGAGCCGTAAAAGCCGAGATTGAAGACTACTTCCTCGCTCAGGGATGCACGCGTGACACTTTGGTGTTTGCTATGGGTGGAGGCGTCATTGGCGATCTGGTTGGCTTCGTAGCTGCTACTTTTATGCGCGGTATCCCCTTTGTCCAGATTCCTACCACATTGCTTGCCATGGTCGATTCCTCTATTGGGGGCAAAACTGCGATTGACACTCCACAGGCCAAGAACTCAATCGGCGCCTTCTGGCAGCCCAAGCGTATCTTCATTGATCTAGCCGTCCTCGAAACCCTACCAGAACGTGAATTTGTTAATGGCATGGCCGAGGTAATCAAAACTGCAGCCATCTGGAACGAGAGTGACTTTGTGCTGCTCGAGAATGGCGCAGAAGCCATTCGCGACGCTGTGCTGAAGCCCGTTCGCAATGTCGAGTTCCAAGGTAAAAATCAAAAGATCTCTTATCTGTGACTAAACTCATTTAATTTTGTCAATCAAACTCTGCTTTTGCTCACTGCGCCTCATGTCAAATCATTGACCTTTTTTTTGTAGGCGCAACGTTAGAAACACGTACACCAGCCCAACAATTGCTCCTCAAGGTCGTTATGGCGTCAGTCGCAGTCAAGTCATATGTAGTCACTCATGACGAGCGCGAAACAGGGATGCGTGGCCTGCTTAATTTTGGACATTCGATTGGACATGCCATTGAAGGTCTTGTTACACCCAAGCTACTTCACGGAGAATGCGTTGCCATTGGTATGATTAAGGAAGCTGAAATCGCTCGCCACTGTGGATATCTCTCTCAGGTTGCAGTTGGTCGTCTATCTCGTTGTATTCAGGCTTACGGTTTGCCCATCACCATGGAGGATAAGTTTGTCAAGAACCATATTGGAAACCAGTACTGCACCGTTGATGAATTGATGCAAGTTCTACGTGTTGACAAGAAAAATATGGGTAGCCAGAAACGCATTGTTATGTTGTCTGGAATCGGAAAGACATTGGAACAGAAGCCTACTAATATCTCGGATGATATTATTCGTAAAGTTTTGGCTGGCTCCACTATCGTCCATCCACGTCCTATCAATGTTCCGCCAGTTACGCTTTCGCCTCCCGGATCAAAGTCCATCTCCAACAGAGCTTTAGTCCTGGCCGCATTGGGAAAGGGGACCTGTCGCTTGACTGGACTGCTTCATTCGGATGATACTCAGGTTATGCTGACTGCGTTGACCAAACTTGGAGCAGCCACGTTTGAGTGGGAAAATAATGGCGACACCCTTGTTGTGCATGGAAATGGTGGGAAAATGCACATTCCTGATTCAGAGCTCTACATGGGGAACGCTGGAACTGCTGCTCGCTTCTTGACGACTGTCAGTGTCCTTGTCCCTCCATCCACTATCCCTGGTCAAAAGACTATTCTTACTGGCAATTCAAGAATGAAGCAGAGGCCGATCGCGCCGTTGATTGATGCTTTAACCACCAATGGCTCCGAACTCAAGTATCTCGAAACCAAGGGCTGCCTCCCTTTGGAAGTCACACCTTTTAGTCATGGTCTCGCTGGAGGAGAGATTCAGCTAGCTGCATCAATCTCGTCTCAATATGTATCTTCGATTTTGCTCTGTGCCCCATATGCCACCAAGGAGCCAGTAACACTGGTCTTAACTGGAGGACAGGTCATCTCTCAGCCTTATATCGATATGACGATTGCCATGATGAAGTCTTTTGGCATCACAGTCGAGGCTCTCCCTAACAATACTTATCGTATCCCTCAGGGTACGTATGTTAATCCTGCAGAATACCTTGTCGAAGCTGATGCCTCCTCGGCTACCTATCCATTGGCAATTGCAGCTATTACTGGCACCACATGCACTGTCCCTAACATTGGATCGACTTCACTTCAAGGCGACGCTGGCTTTGCTGTCAATGTCCTTCGCCCAATGGGCTGTACGGTCGTGCAGACTGAGACGTCAACCACAGTGACTGGTCCTCCTATCGGCACTTTGAGGCCTTTACCTCACATTGATATGGAGACCATGACAGACGCCTTCTTGACAGCATCAGTTCTAGCTGCAGTGACCCAGCCTGCGACCTCTGGTGGTAATAATGTGACCAAGATTAGTGGTATTGCCAACCAACGTGTCAAGGAATGTAACCGTATTGCAGCAATGATGCATGAGCTTGGCAAGTTTGGTGTAGTGACTTCTGAGTTTGACGATGGCATCATTGTTCATGGACATGACATCGCCTCCTTATCACCACCTAAGGATGGTGTCAAGTGCTATGATGACCACCGAGTTGCAATGTCATTTAGTGTCTTGGCCAACGTCATTCCTGGAGGCACCATTATCCGAGAAAAGAAGTGTGTGGAGAAGACATGGCCTACATGGTGGGATGATCTTGAGAACAAACTGGGTGGCCGTACATCCGACATTGATCTCGGCCCTCCTTCAGAACACCATGATTATGAAGTCAAGTCATCACCATCACCATCACCATCAGCTAGCAGCAACAAAAAGAATATTGTACGCAATGCTAGGAATAATGCCACGATTGTAGTGATCGGCATGCGTGGCGCTGGGAAGACATCGATGGGTCGCTTTGCTGCCAAGGCTTTAAAGCGCCCGTTTGAGGATGTTGATCAATACTTTGAGAAGACCCTTTCGACAACTATTCCAGAATTTATTAAGGAGCATGGATGGGCAGCTTTCCGAGAGAAGGAGGCCAAGATGTTAGTTGAATTATTGGTAAAACATCCAAGTGGGTATGTGATTTCATGTGGTGGTGGCATTGTCGAGACGGCATCTTCACGTGAGGCTTTTAAGAATTATGCCGCCGAAGGTGGAATTGTCTTACATTTGGTCCGCAATATCAATGAAATCGAGGCATACCTTAACAGGGATACATCAAGACCCATGTACGGCGAGTCAATGCGAGACGTTTGGGCTCGTCGCGAAGGATGGTACCGCGAATGCTGTAACTATGAGTTCGTTGTGGCTGGTCAACAACTGAAAGGTATCGAAGCCGAAGATGCCAAAGAGTGGGCACTGGTCGAGTCTAATTTTGAGAGGTTCTTAAAGGTGATCTTGACCAACAAGAGTAGTAAGCATGCGAACCGAGCTCAAGTTGTTGCTACACCGACATTCTTCCTTTCACTGACCTTCTCGGATATCAGCCCAGCACTACCACACTTGTCTAAACTGACGCTTGGTTCAGACGCCATTGAGCTCCGTGTAGATCTTTTGAGGGCACCGGAAAAATCTGGTATCTCCTTCCGTGACCACGTTGCGCAGCAAGTCTCGCTGCTTCGTCGTCATTCTGATCTTCCCATCCTTTTCACTGTGCGCTCCGTATCACAAGGTGGACTGTGGCCCGATAGTGATGTGCACGGCATGATCTCACTTCTGAACGATGGGCTCGGGTGGGGTGTTGAATACCTGGATATTGAAATTGGCCTTCCCCGCAACGAGATTGACGAAGTCTTGGCCGGAAGGGGCAATACTCTTATCGTAGCTTCGTGGCATGATGTTAAAGGCACTGTAGCCTGGTCTTCTGACGCTATGGAAAACCAGTACATGCTCGCCAAGTCTATCTCGCCCGACGTGATCAAGTTGATTGGCGCCGCGAATTCGATGAAGGGTAACTTTGAGTGTTCTGAATTCGCAGCACGCCATACCGCTAAAACGGATGATTTGCCGTTAATTTCTATGAACATGGGTGCTCAAGGTCAGCTCTCTCGTATCCTTAACAACTATTTAACACCTGTTACTCACAAGCTGTTACCTGTAAAGGCAGCCCCTGGTCAGCTCAGTGCTCACGAGATTTTAATTGCTCGTCACATCGCAGGTCTTCTTCCTGCAAAGCAGTTCTATTTGTTTGGCACACCCATCAGCCAGTCCCTCTCGCCATTGATGCACAACACGTCCTTCCAATCCTTGGGTTTGCCATACACCTATGGCCTGCATGAGACAGCCACTGTTGATGAGTCTGTTGTCGCCAAGATGCGTTCAGCTGATTTTGGAGGAGCCAGCGTAACGATCCCTCACAAGATCGAGATCATGTCAAAATTGGATGAGATCACAGACGAAGCCAAGGCCATTGGCGCAGTCAATACCATCGTTCCTATCGTGGACAGGCAAGGCAAGACTATCTTGGTTGGAGACAACACTGATTGGCTAGGTATTTACTATCAGATCGTTCGTAACCTCAGCTCGACGACGACCATTCACCCTCAGAACATGAGCGGCCTTGTCATTGGTGCTGGTGGCACGTCGCGTGCAGCTCTGTATGCGCTTTATCGTCTTGGTGTCCAAGAAATCTCGATTTTTAACCGCACAATGGTCAAAGCTCAAGCTGTGGCAGACTCGTTCAAGAATTTGTTTACAGTCAAGATTTTGAGCGCCAACGAGTTGTTGAAAAATGACGATGGAGCTGGTACAGGTTTTGATCTGATTATTTCTACTGTCCCAGGCACGATTGATTCAAGCGCCATGTTTGATGACTCTATATTTGGAAGCATAAGTGAGAAGGACAAGAAGGGGGTTGCTGTGGAATTGGCTTACACACCTCGCTTTACGCGCTTCCTGAAGTTGGCAGCTCAGGCTGGTTGGGCCACTGTTGAAGGGGGACAGGTGCTGGTGGAGCAAGGAGGGTGGCAGGCACTCAAGTGGGTTGGACGAAAGTGGGATCTAGAGAGTGTTCTCACGCAGATGGATCTCGTTCAGGCTGGCCGTGAGTGAGGAGGGGAAAAAAAAAAAAAAAAAAAAAAAAAAAATCCTCTTTTCTCTGCACATAGTATAGTTTAGTAATAAACATGAAAAACATGTAACATCCCACTCAAAGAAAAGAAAAAGGTGCACCCTACAAGCATACTCAAGGCCAGTGCGAACCATAGAAATGTTTGAACCCGGGCACTGCAGCAATGTCATTGGGGATGGCCCAGTTGCTTCATCTGTTTTAGATAGTTGACATTGACCGATACCTGGGAACTTCATGATAGTGAGGCTGAATGCAATGAAACAATAGTCAGTTCTGCAAATCGGTCCGGCCAAGGAACACTTCCCTTCCTTTTTCTTTACGTTTTTTCTTCTTAGTTCCTATATTTCCGTTATTGTATGAAGTTAATGCGTGAAACGGTGTGCCCCATGTATATGTCTAGAATTAATTTTAAGACCTCAGTAGCGTATTACATACTAATCATTTGCCTTTTTTTTTTCTTTAAGAAATTGGTTACTTTTTATTGTTATCATTTTTTTCTTTTATAATTATAAACATAAATACCAGTCAACTGATATTTAGAGAATTGAGGGAATATTACACAAAAGACGAAGACAAAAGAGAAAAAGTTAAAGATTCCTGCTCCAGACAAAAAAAAAAGATAAAAAAAGAAGATCCCTGCTCCTTTTTGTTCTTTTTTTCTTTCTCTTTTTTTCTTTTCTTTGAGTTTTATCCTTTTGTATATCCCTACTGCTTCTCTTGTTTAGCAGTTCTGGGCAAGAACGCCGTTAGCAGATTGGCAGAACAAGACGTGACCGTTGCCGTTGGTGGCGGAAATTTGCAATTGGACGGGGATCTATTTTAATAAAAAAGAACAAGAAAGAGTGATTTAAATTTAACATGGCTTGAGACTGGGAATAGAAAGAAAAAAAAAAAAACAGAGAAAACAAATAAATGAATAGACAACTTACGCCAGCAGGGGCGGTGGTCTTGACCAAGACGCAGGCGGTGATGGAGGTCAAGGTGACGGGAACGGGGCAAGGGTGTCCCTGGTTACCGAGCAAGGTGCAGAGGTCATGGGCATCGGTGTAAACGATGCGGTTCAAGTACTTGCCGACGATGTTAAGCTTGGCACCAGCGGTAACAGGGGCGCTCAATTGACCGTTACCGGTGGCGCAGACGTTCTGACCAATACAGAGAGGGTAGGGAGAAAGGGAGAAGGAGTTGATAACCAAGTCGGTGGCTCCAGTAGCGCAGTTGGTGAAAGTGGGCTGCGTCTGGGCGTTGGCGACAGCAGCAAGGACGAAGGCAGCGACGGCGGTGATGAACTTCATATTGACTGATTGAAGAGAAGGCTAAGGCTTGGTTGGTTGGTTGGTTGGTTGGCTTAAGAGAGTGAAGAAGATGGACAAATGACCTGAGGAGGAAGAGAAACAGAGGGGATGAGGACGGTATTTATACATTTTAGAAGAACTTGAAGAGAGTTGCAGAATTGTCGGATTCATGTTTCCTTACTACGGATCTATGCAGCTGTTACTTTACCTAACGGTTGTTTTGCTTCCTGGCATGAGGAACACGTCCTGGGTAGCGCCGTCGCTCCTCTCTCTTTTTGTTTTGGTTTGTTTTATTTTGGTTTGTTTGTGTACTGTATCTGTACTCACCATATGATGTGGATGGGATATTCCTTGATGTGTTTGTCTCTAGCATGTGGGGCGTCGTAAAGCGGGCGATGTTGAGGGTGTACAACAGTGCAGACATTTCGTAATAAAAAGTGGACGAGTGAGCAGATGACAAAGTAAAACACGGATATGTGGAAGGGTAAGGGCTCTTCAATGTTTTTTGTTTGTTTGTTTTGTGGAGCAAAATAAAACAGGGTAGTTGAGTGAGGCAGGGCAAGAGGAGGGGGTAAGGGCTCAAGAATCTACGCTAAGTTGCCAAGTAGCTTTTTCAGTGTATACAGCCATTACTCCTTACCGTTTCTAATCTCTGAAGACGCGTTTTTTTTTTTTTTTTTGTTTTCCCGGTCAGTCATCAACATTCATTTTAAAGTGGCAACTACCAAACCTTCTTCATCAATGTCATCAGAATAATCAAAAAGGTGTATGAGGCGCTTGGGGTGCCTCATATACTTATCACAAGTAGGATGGGACTTTGTTCTTCTGCTTACAGTTGAAGGGATTCCTTTGTGGGTACCCGAGCAAAAATATCTCTTAACTCAACAGTAAGCCATGGAAACGCGATTTCCCTCAAGTTTTTGATTGGACGATAACAAAAAAAAAAAATCGCGCTGTGACGAGAAGCGCCTCCTATAATGAATCAGCCCATCTGTCTTTGTGACAGAAAAAGGAAAAAGGACACCTTCCTTTTTTCTTGTATTCAGGGCAAAAGGTTGAAATACATTAGCTGTATCACGATATAAACATCCACATGTTTGTCCACTTTAACAAAGAAGAAGGTCTAGACAAGGCCATTATTTTTGTCTCGATGCCATGGAATTTACAATGGCCATCTACCAACAGATGCGAGGCGTATACGGCTGTAACAGTAAAAAGCTTTAGTGACAAGGGTTGTGAATGGTGATTACGTTTTTTTTTTTTTTTTTTTTTATCAAAAGGATTTCATGGGATAAAAATGGCATGATGTTATGTGGAGAACACAAAAAAACTCCTCCACACTCTTTGTTTTCATTGGTGTCCTATGTGTGGAGGGCAATTTATTAAGGTTGAGACTACATCTTTGTACAAATGTTCAGTTTGAGAGGAATTCAAAGACATATTATACATGTAAATACATATGCGTTTCTAATATGATAAACAGAATCACAAGAGAGCCAAGGAGTAAAGACATGAAGGACAAGAAGAAAACTTGTGTCCACGTACACTCTTTCATCCGTATTCATGTACGTGTACACATTGGTGATTTTTTAAAGTTCAAGTGAATAAGCAGATTGTTTGTGCACAAACTTTTATTCAGAACCACTGCAACATGTCACAAATATTCATAAGCATAAAAACCTGTAAAGCAACAGTAGTCTATAACAAGTCAACAAATCAATAAATTAACAAACAACCGTGTTAGCGGTGGATGTCCTTTCTTCCTATTGAATAAAATACCTCGCGTTATGGTTGTAAGCCGCTTTGTACGCATGTTTTTTTTTTTTTTTTTTATATTTTTTTTAAAAAAAATAAAAAAATAAAAATAAAAAAAAAAGATAACTAGGGTCTTACGAGATCGTGGGGGCTCATTAGCACTGAGGCCAAAAAACGGGCCGCCTTTTTGTTATTAGCGCAACTAAAGCGATTCCTAATAGTTGACCTTGACTGTGTCGTTGTACCGTCACTTTATGACATTCTTTTTCATAAATCATACCCACACGGAAACCTTTGATCCTTAGTCATTGAGGAACGACATCCTCAAACTTTTCCATTCCCATTAATTATAATAGCCCCCGATAGCTCCTATCATCCCTTAGCCAGCTTTCGTCCCAACCATTTCATCAGCCGCGCAACGTTGTTCCAGTGAGAGCTATAAGAAACTATCGCGTCTATGTCTGTGTTACTCAACGCAGTTGCGCTTAGCGCATTTGCTCATAAAGGCAATGTCTCTCGTTCTTTTCTCGTCAACAGTGATTTTGCAGCGCCTGTTTCAGGTCTCAGTCCTTTTGGTCTCTTCGATAATCTTGGCAGACCCGTAAATTACATTCTTGAAATGGATATCATTGTCTTGAATCAACTCTTCCAAGGCCTGACCATATCTTTTGGCACGAGTTCATGATATAATTTTTGAACCGTCTGGATGTCTCTCTCATCAGCACCACGTTCATCCCCTTTATCATTGTAACACCACCTCGTCCGTATGGGTTATAGCGGTACCTCTGTACACGGTCTCCAAAGATATATATTTAGGACCTTTGCCAATATATTTTGTCTGGTGCCTGCACCCGGGGTCTCCCGCCCTCCCACAGTTTTCTTGAGTTCTCTATCCATCGCGGCTGATGGCCCCAATAATGCTTACTCGTCCATCCAACTGCTTGTCCTAAGCGGTAGGGTATTTTTAAAGCTACCCTGTATCCTCTCCCAGCTCACACATGCTACAGGAATCTGAAAGTCCTGAATTATGTTACTACTGCTACATTATCGACGTGGGTTAAGTGGTACATTTCTTGGACTGACAAGTATTGGTGCGAGGAGATTTGTTAGTCTTATCTGACGAATGAAGCATAACCACCAACTCTACCAGATTTGTTGTCATTTGTTTATCTGCGCTCTCCTGTGCAGCAACTATTTTTTTCTTTTACGATTAAAATCCATACCTACAAGATCCAATGTTAATAGACTGATGTTATATTGTCCTACGCAGGCCACCAGACCTGTAATGGGGGCTTTTCTTGGAGATAGACTCCTAGTCAAGTTGGAAGCACGCCCAAACCGGATGAACTGCACCTATGGCCCAGATAGTTGACTTATTTCGGCGTGGGATAGTAGTTAGGTAGAGAAGTAAAAAATACTTGAATAAACGAAGATCTTAAGGAAAAGCGTAGTATGTGCTCAATCCTTGGGTGGGTTTTCCCGAGCTCCATTAATCTTGATTAGAATTCTTAGTCCTTGAGTTGAGCCGCAGCTCTTTTCTATTCAAGTATCGATCATTTTGTCCTTGAGCGAACCCAAGGAAAAGAGAAAATTCTTACTGTCTACAGTCGTCTTTTTATACGAAAATTTGTAAAAGAGATAAAAAATGATGCGTAGCACTTTGGAGTTCATGCCTTTAATATATTTACATTTCTTTCTTTCTTTTTTCTTTTTCCTCTTGCCCGGTTAACTCTTACTCATTCTTCATCTGCCTCTGTCAAGATATTTCTCTTCGCTGCTCTGCTAGGGCAGGGTTTTGGCGACCTTGCATGATAGTGCGTCGCTCTTCATTTTGACATCGGGCATATAGAGTGACCACAGCACGTATACAAGCAGGTTATTCTTGGTACTTAAGTCAAGCCATGTCCGGATTTTCTCGAGATGTTCCACATCACACCAAAACTCGGACCTGTGATTCGTAGAGGAGCAATAAAGAACGTTTTTTTTTTTTTTTTTTTTTTTTTTTTAAAAAAAAAAAAACCAATTGGTCTCTCTTAACGAACAGCGTTATCCCTTCGTCCGTAACAAGGGCAAATTTGCCATTATAAATGGGCTTAAAATCCAGCAATCCATGGGCATTGTCTCGAAAATTTATTTCGATGTCGAAATAAATGACCGAAAACTAAATTGTCATGGAGCTATCCTGGCTTCTTTATTTGTGCAAATAAAAAACTCATGAAGACTTTCGCATGACCCTAGCATCCGCTTGGGAGTCCATTGTATCGTTTATTTATTGACTAGTGTAATAGCAGTGATAATATTCGCCGCCGTAGTCTCGACTTGAAAGGAGGGCAATCTGAATTGATTCATACCCAAGGTGATACAAATATCTCTGTTGGAGTGAGTGGTGAACTGTGTGTGGTTCAGATGTAGTGGACATAAACGGCGAAAGAATGCATCGAAAGGATGTGAGCGGTTATGAGAGCAAGGAAGAAGGGTTGGTATGCCTGTTCAAGTCCTTGGCAAGAGAGCATGAGTAGCAGTTGTGATCAATGGTATAGTTTCTAGCCTATCTTCCACGTACAACATTGCATTATTGTTGTTTTCAGACCTGGCACCAATCATGCGAGGTATTTCTTTTTCTGAGGGTTCCTTGTGTGTTAAACAGGCAGACAGAAAGCTTAGAAGAGATACAGACACAACGGTGAAAAAAATGTATGTGAGCAAACAGTTGCTGTGTTTATTTGTTGTCTGCACATGCCTTCTTTCATCGCGGGCTTTTTTTTTATTGTTTCGCATATCTTGTTTCCTTTTTTGTTCGTCAATCACTGTGTGCACGAATAAGCAGCTGAAGCATCTCTTTGGTTTCTGTACATGTATAAACACATTTTACATCGCGGCGTCTTTTTTTGTTCAAAACACAAACGTTTTCCATTGGTGCCTCCAAACAAACTTTATTTTGGTAGCCACTCCACAATGGTTATAACAATCCCTAGGAAAGGATCAAACGCGTTGGTATCAATCTCGCTTCTGTATTTCTAGATGCATATGTTTTGGCGATTGGTATCAACTATCAAATTCACACATACACACACCAAACGACCGCCAAAAACCACAAGGCGCTGCGCAATATCACCATTAACAAGGCACCGTCCAGTAAGAAAGGGTGCTTAGATAGCTTTTACTCCAAGCAATAAGCGCATGCAACTACATCACTCCTATCTCCGCCATTGATGCCGGAACCTGAGAGCCAACGAATATCTCTGCTTTAACGCAATAGTACTGGGGCTGTTGGATCAAAGAGCATCATATGAAGCCATCCTCTGATAAAAAAGCCTTTTTTTTCTTTAGTTGTTACCTTTGACAAGGATATAATCACCGAGTCATATCTGTCAATGCATTTATTACCCCTGTTCAAAATTATTAATCTTCTTTTATTCATTAAATTCCTCACAAAGCACAAAGCAAGGGCCGTCCCCAATACTAATCGTTAGTCCCTTTCTTGGATAATGTAAAGGCGCACCATCATTCTATATAGCGGAAGGGTCACATAGGAACCAGTTCCGGTCCATCTTTTCTGACAAGGCGAGCATATTGGATGGGTGCACAGTTGGTATCAGTAACTGCCGTCAGCACGATAGGCCGGCATCCACCACGTCGGAAAAAGGCAAAAAAGAAGCAACAGAAAAAACAAAAGCGGAAGCACAAAGGCAAGAAGCCCCACAGGGCTAAAAAAGAAGGTGCACCAGTTAGGAACTTGAAGAATGCTACGAAGGTTGAACACAGCTACAGCAGTAAGCACCCTATCAAGGCCTTAACAATTGGGTCCCTTAAGGCCTCCATGGCAAGGAAAGGCGGACTGGACGCAGATGAAAGGGATAATATTGCAAGCCAGATCCGAGGGGCAGTTGTTGTCCTCAACCGACTACGCCGACATGCATACTGGGCGATTGCCTTGGACATTGAAAGGATCATGCGGTTACCAGGGGCAGCAAGGTCGAGGAAAAAGGCACTGGACGAGGTCTTGGATAGCAATGATTATTCCTTCCGACTCGCCACCCTTCTTTTAAGCGGTCAAGGTGGGCCCCAATTCAGCTTACGCGAGGGCAAAAAAACAAGGGTAGAAGCGCCCCATTACCTCCTCGCTTATGAACATTTCAAGGCCACCACTGAACTTTCCCCAATAAAGGAAATAGACATCACATTGGGGACGTGCAAGGCTTTGATCCCAAAAAGATCTCATTTCCAAGAGCGTCAGAGCTACTAATGGGCCAAGTACAGACATCATTAAAGCAGCACTACAGGAACCCAATGGTATAGCTTGTGTAGGGTATTTTCATGTATATTCTGCAATTAAATTCTCTTTATTCAGACTCTTTTTTTTTTTTTTCTAGTTTGATGTCGAGAAAACAAACGAAGATATGAGCGACATTGAGTTTTTTTTGCGGGAGAACAAAAAAGTGAAAAAATACTCAGACTTTCCTACGTCCTCCTGGTCACCCGGGTATGTGTATCTGTCTGAACACGCCCTAGTTGACATCCTCTGGGCGAACGAAGATACCAAGCAGCTACTGGAGCGTATTCTGCCTCTCGACAATCCTTCCAAGACTGCAATGTTTGAGTGTGTACAGGGAACAAAAGGGGTTTTGATTCAGGCTCTCTTTTGTGACATTGGAGGCGATCACATGGTTCTTGGATATCGAGACAAAGTATCCCTGCAGTCACAGGACAAAGAGCTAACTCGGTTCAAACTCAAAGGGACGATTTCTACCAACGGTCTAGTTCTGAATCTACTTGCCTATGACACAACCCAGACGAAGAGACAGCAGCAGTCTGACGTAGATGAAGAAGACCCCAGCCAAGAACTGGAGCTTTCTCAGGGATTTCTCAACACGACGTGTTCAAAGGCAGCCGGTGAAGACCTGACAGATGAAGACTATGCAAACATAAACTGGAAGAGCTCACATTCAACAAACCAGGGCGGTACCATCCGCAAACAGCACAACTATCGTCGGATGCGATCCTGGTATTGTTAACGCCCTTACGTTTTCCTCCCTGGATCCTCACAACTCTAACTTGCGGCAAACAGTAAAGGTGAGAAGCAGGTTCTTGTACCTCCCCGTCCTCCGCTTCAATCACCTGTTGAACAAAAGGAAGCGTGAAAAAGGAATGATTGAGGTTGAGAGCGCCATCCCTGTGTTTGGAAGGGATACGTACTATGAGTACTTTCAATGGATGAACGAGGAGTCCCAGACACAGATAGGATCAAAGAATTTGGATGTGCTTCAAGAGTTCTACGAGCCCAGGTGGTACCTGAAAAAAAATGGGACCTACGAAAGGCTCAACGAGCTACGTTCGACTACGCGGTACAGCGAGTGTTGAAGATGCTCGGGGAAAAAGGAGTGCTTGTCGTCGGCCTAGGGTCCTTTGAAAGTAGTAAAGGAGTTCCCAGCAAGCACACTGCTATAACGAGACACCTTGTCACACAGGTATGGCTTTTTTTAAAAAAAGTAAGAAAAGCTGGAAAGCCATAGAACCCTTGCTAATAAACGACTGCCATTTGAAACGCTTAGGTCAGAGCACGAGGACACTTCGCTGTAGGGGCGTCCGAATTTTACACCAGCGCCCGCTGTCCCCAACCCCTCTGCGATAGCTTTTTAGAGACTGTGTACCCTCGCTCTAAATATTGCCGGACATGTAAGGTATTCTTCGACCGTGACGCAGTAGGGGCGGAAAACATCGCAAGAATCGGTCTTGCTCAAATTGAAAGGCAAGAGAGGCCTGCAAAGTACAAGCCCACGGAAGAGTCGCCTGCTCCGGCTGCAAAGCGCGCACGACGCTAGACACAAGTATTTGGGTGCCGGCACACCCACAAAAAATTTGTAAGTTCTGTTTATTTTCGTCTCCTGTATCCATCCTCTCTAATCTTTTGCCCCTGAATTTCTGGACTAACTTTAAAAACCGTACAGTTGTATCTACTAATCAGCGCAAAGCCTTATAAGCTATAGGCGAGTTCACCTCACCTAGAAAGCACCACAGTCAGGCCTGTAGACTAGGTTATAAAGGCCAAGGAAACATCCTTCACAATAAAGTCTTCAGTTTTCCCCATATGTCTTGTTCTTGACCTGCAGTTCATCTTGCCATTTATCTTTCCCCCTTTTCCCAACAAGCATTTGTCTTCCGGTAACTCAGTTTGTGAGCTCATCTATAAAGCCCCCATCTTCTCTTCTGGCATCCTATGGTGCTGTTCGTCGTCAAGGTTATTTGCCTCTATTTTCTCTTGTTATTCTTGTTGACACACTTTGTTCTGTCCTCTATCTTTACCCCTTAAGCAAAGATACACCTACTATTGTTGCAAAATTTAGGGGCAGATGTGGTAGGAGATTTAGGTGGATTATGAAGCCAGTCACTTCCAGCTGCAGATAGATAAATAATTCTAACACAATAAAAGAACACACACACTACTCAAAGACTGGACGAGAACAGTCAGTACTCAAATGGCTCTTGTGTAAAAATAAGGAACAAGGAGCCAGATTTTCCTGAGCTGTTGCTCGTTAAATAGTTGGTGGCGAACCCTCTACACGTGACTAAAACTAAAACCAACACTATTTACAACATGGTGGAGACCCCTGGGCAACAGTCCGTTTGGCTACTGCTGCCATTCTTTGTGCGTCCCGTAGAAGCTTTTTGGTCCTTTGCCGAACAATCTACCGTTTTATCGACCCATTTGGCCAATCCTGTGAAGGAACAAACGCAGTGGAGAATCTTTTCCAAGGTCCTATCATTCGTTCTTTCGCCCTCTTTGCCCTCTTGGCAAGAGAGCGCACTGCTTTTTCCTTTCATTTTTTCCTTCATCTTTTTCTTCTGGCTTTCCTTATTTCTTTGTATCCGATTGTCGCTGCAGCATACGACAATCCTAAACAACCACCAAACTCAAATCCCTTCTCCCGTTTCCCCTCTTACTTCGCCTGAACCAAAACCAGAGGATATTATCTGGCCACAGTTCGCAGTAGAGGACAAGATTCCGTTTGATGATTTCCTTGCGCGGTTCGAGCGTATATTCGAAGTAGCCAAGTTTAACGAATCCCAAAAGTTCGTCTGCTTCAATCGATGCCTTACTCGCGTTAGTCCTACAATTATCCAGCTGTCGAAAGCCTTGGACGAGAGAGATTATGAGACTGCCGTTAAGCGTCTTCGCCCTTACCTCGCGATTACCCAAGAGCAACGTCAAGCCCAAATCCTCGCGCAGTATGCAACCATTCAGCAAACACGCACTCAATCCTTAAAAGAATATTATGAGAGCTTTGAAAAACTGAATGCGACGCATGCCCTAGAACGTGAAGAATCTCTCGATCTCTTTTTCAAGCACTTGCAGTCACCCCTTCGGTCCCATGCTGCTATAATATATATGCTCGCGCAAGAAAAGAATGGGACTGTCCCTGTCTTTTACAAGCGGTTGACCACTTTCCTGGAGTGTTCCCCTCTTCCGACGAAACCCTCGGAGATTGTCCCAGCGCAAAGTGCACGCCCTACACAACCTCTCTGCTCCCACTGCTCAGGTCGCCATGCATCTGATCGATGCTATCAAAAATTTCCTGAGCTTCGTCCCCAAAGACAACAGCAACAGAGGCCAGCTCCTGTGGCAGTTGTTCAGCCAGCTACATCTCAGACCGAAACTCCTCCTAGGGTTTCCGTAATCGCTCCTGTCTCGGCCCTGTCTACGCCGCTATTTCCCTATGTTTCGCTTTCGTTTAACGATACGCCTGTAAAAGCGCTCATAGACACAGGTGCATTTATCTCTTGCATATCATCGCACGTCCTTGCAACAACCAAGGTTCCAACACACTGCATCAAAAATGATTGCACTCCAGTTGTCGCTTGTGATGGACGTATCACTCAAACCAAAGGCTCTGTTATGGTTTTCGTCAACAATACTCTCGTGCGGTTCTCTGTTCTCGATGGGCTAAATACTGAGTTCCTCATTGGTTGGGATTTGATCACAAAATTCAAATCGATCCTTACCACAGAAGGACTTTCCTTCGAGACCCAACCTCCTTGCGAAAATCCATTAGATGCCCCCATCCTGTCACTTCCTCCTGCAATTAACTCTAAGGTTAATCTCTCCTTCGATGGGCAAACCAACAATGCAGTCAATACTCTACAGCCTGTCATGACTGTCTGTCATTATACCTTAGAGCATCGTATCAATCAGTTGCTTCGAGAAAACCATGATATCTTTGCTCCTAAACCACAAGCTCCGCCCATTTCTAACACCGTGACGTTCACAATTGACACTGGATCGTCGCCCCCAATCCAGATCCACACTCGTCGACCAAACCCGGTCCAACAAGCTATCATCGATGAACATATTGACGCCATGCTTGCAGACGGTATCATCGTCCCTTCATCCTCTCCATGGTGCTCCCCGGTCCGGATTGTTGATAAGCCTAATGGAGAAAAGCGATTTTGTATCGACTACCGAGCTGTCAATGCGGTGACGGTTCAAGATGCTTACCCGATTCCATACATGGACATGCTCTTGAATGCTCTAAGTGGTGCGACGACTTTCTCAAGTTTGGATTTAGCTGCAGCATACTGGCAGGTTCCTATTGATCCGGCTACTGCCAAGAAGCTCGCCTTTACAACTCATCGTGGTCTCTTTAAATGGACTAGAATGCCGTTCGGACCTTCTACTGCGCCTGCTACGCTCCAACGAGCCCTGAATTCCATCTTTAACCCACTCTTGTACAAGAAGGTCATCGTATACTTTGACGATATTATTGTCTACTCAGAAAATGTTGAACAGCATTTCCATGACCTCCAAGAAGTGCTAGCTATCCTTCGTGCGCATGGATTGTCCCTAAAACGATCTAAATGCCACCTTTTCCGATCATCGATCAAAGTCCTTGGTTTCATTGTTTCTGCTAATGGTGTAGAGGCCGACCCTGACAAGACTAGACCTATCGATAACTATCCAGTTCCCGCTTCCGCTAAAGACGTCCTGAGCTTTCTAGGGATGTGTGGAGTATATCGCTCGTTCATACCAAAATTTGCGATAATCGCTGCCCCACTCTACCAGCTCACCAAGAAAAACGTCGTGTTTGAATGGTCAAGCGAAGCCCAAGAAGCTTTGAGACTCTGAAAGTTAAGCTGACTTCTGCCCCTGTTTTAGCTCATCCAGATTTTTCTCGCCAATTCGAGATTCATAGTGACGCTGCTTGTAAGACGGGCGTTGGTGTCGTGCTATGCCAGCGAGATGATAATGGACATCGCCACCCTGTCGCCTATGCTTCCCGATCCTTGACCCATGCTGAGAAAAACTATTCTGTTGGAGAGCTTGAGGCTCTTGCCTTTGTCTGGGCTCTCAGAAAGAAATTTCATCATTTTGTGAATGGATCCCACTTTCTTATTTTTACCGACCACAGCTCCCTCCAATTTCTCACAAAAGCGAAAGATCTGGACGGGCGCCTTGGCAGATGGGCACTGATTCTCCAAAGGTATAATTATACCATTCATCACGTCCCGGGTATCCATCATCGCGTACCAGACGCCCTGTCTCGCCATCCTCTGCCATCAATTTCAGTACTTTTCCCAAGCCATGTCACTCCAATAGAAAACGAGGAACAACTCATTGCACAACAAGCCAATGACCCTTTTTGTGCTAGAATTATCGAGGAGTTGGAAGACCGGCCGGAGTATCGCCTTATTCGCGGCATTCTTTACCGCATTTACCTTGCCCCTCACAATCCTGAGCGTGCTCGCTTTCAGATCGTGGCGCCACTGATTTTTCATTCGTTCATTTTATACCAAGCTCATGATATCCCTTTAAGCGGACACCTTGGCCAGTCAAAAACTCTTCATCGCATTACCTCGCAATACTGGTGGCCTACAGTCAATAGGGATGTTAAGAGTTATATTCAAAGATGTAATGCCTGTCAAACTCTCAAGTCTGGACGCTCCTATTCGACGATCCAACACCCAACGGTATCTAATGCGGCTTTCGTGAAACTTGCAGTCGATTACTATGGTCCTCTTCCAGAAACTTCTTCTGGCTTCAAGTACGTCGTTGTGATTCAAGATATGTTCACGCGCTTTGTCCATCTGTTTCCTGCGAAAACAACGCAGGCGAGAGAATTGATTACCCTACTCGTCGACCAGCATTTCTCGCTTCATGGAGTTCCTGTCGAAGTCATGTCTGACAACGGCCCTCCCTTCACTGCAGACGACTATAAACATCTCGCCCAGCTTTTGAATATAACACCAAAGTTTGCTCCTGCTTACCATCCTCAGTCTAATGGCATGGTCGAACGATTCATGGCTTCTCTTCGTACTCTCATAGCAGCCTATTTACAGCCAGATAGTCATTCTCGTTGGGATGAACATTTGAGCAAGTTAGCGTTCGCATACAATACGGCGTTTAACCGACAAATCCAAGACACACCATTCTTCATGGTTTATGGTCGTGATCCCCGTCACCCACTGAATGCTATTGACTCTCTTGATTTGGAGCGTATGTTGATACAGAGCGCCAATCAACGTTCTCAGTACTTCCAGGCCCTATATCGCGCTCATAGCCTGGCTCTGACACTTCAAGATCGTGCTCCAGTAGAGGCTGATTCAGATGAGATCTGGCCTGTTGGTCTCGCCGTTTGGGTTTACACCCCACCTGTTTCTACTCGAGGTGCTAATCCCATGTTCGCTAAGTTCAAACGCCCCTGGACCGGCCCTTGTCGAATTACTCAAATTAGGAGTCATAATAGTCGTGATCTGACTACGGAAAATGGTCAGCGATTATTAAACATTCATACCTCCAGACTCAAAAAATTCTATTCGAGTAACGGAA